TGGGGTCCCCTTCTAACTCTAGGACTCACTTGATCCAGACGATGGAGTTGTAGAACTCAGGGTCAATGGACTCCAGGTCCTTGAGGGTGGGCCGCTTGTTGAGCATCCGCTTGTAGAAGGGCAGGGTGAAGCCAGTGTCAATGAACTTCCCGTGATACAAGGCCTGCAGATCAGGAGACGGAGGAAGGGCTGGTCAAGCCATGGCTATGGCTATGGCTCTGGGAAGACTGGCCACACACAAGCAACAAAGGCCTAAGGCCGCTCCTAAAGTTGATGACCACCTTTTATAAATATGCATCCCATACCTCATAGACATTACAATCAGAGTATTCAAGCTAGTGGTCCTGCCCTGAAACCTTGAGATACGGAGCAGCGTAGAAATGCTTTAGTAAAATACAGCTAGAACAAAAAGCAGTATGTAAAACATTCATTCCCTAGGTTTTGTAATGGAACTTATTGAAATTCCAGAGAAAAATGAAGCCGTTTCTATCCTGGTGCTGAGAAAATATTAATAGCAGGAGTGGGAAAATGTATTTATTTGATTTTTATCCCGCATTCCTCCTCATATCAGGACTCAGGGTGGCTAACAATCAACACGACCCAATACAATTAAAGAAAACACATTAAAATATGAATATAAACATTTTTAAGAAGTCGAAATTCTTTCTGTCAACAGAGCATAGAAGTATTAAAACACATTTAGAACTGGTGTTTTTTTAACTATGTATTTTCAGTACATTCCATATTGTATTCTAATTCAATGTTTGTATGCTCTGTGTTTTAATTGACATGTATGAAATTTTTTTTTAGTATGAACTTTTAAGTCTTTTTTGGGAGAGAGGAAGTGGGATATAAATAAATAAATGTATAATGATATAATGATATAATACATGCAAATAATAAATTTTATAATAGTGATATAATAATATACGGCACTCCATGCAGTCATGCCGGCCACATGACCTTGGAGGTGTCTATGGACAACGCCGGCTCTTCGGCTTAGAAATGGAGATGAGCACCACACCCCATATTCAGACACGACATGTCAGGGGAAAAAACCTTTACCTAATACACACTAATAATAGTATAATAATACACACTAATAACAATGCACATAATACTAATAAAATACTGTAATAGAATATTACGGTTTACCTGTCCGAACGTATAATTCCCTATGAACCACTTTGGAGATTAAGATTGTCTGGGGAGTCCCTGCTCTCGGTCCCACTTTCTTTGCAAGCGCGACTGGTGGGAACGAGAGATGGGCCTTCTCAGTGATGGCCCCTCGGCTGTGGAACTCCCTGCCCAGTGATATTAGATCAGCCCCCTCACTCCTAGCCTTCAGGAGGAGAGTAAATCCTGACTCTGGGACCAGGCTTTTGGAGAATAGCAATAATATAATTGGAGTATGTGCAATGATTACGGAATGGCCTTAGACTACGATTTTTGGATGGCAGGATTTTAATACTGAATGCAATGTTGAAATGTTTAGTATGTATTAATTTTAATTCAGTTGATTTTAAGCTTAATGTTTGTTTGTGTTTAAGACATTGAATCATTGCCATATGTAAGCCATCTTGAGTCCCCCTTGGGGTAGAGAGAGGCAGGGTAAATAAATATATACTCATAATAATAATATTTAGCATAATATATAATATATGCAAATAATACATAATATAGTAATATAATGATATAATATACATTAATAATAATAAATATGATACTAATAACAAAATGCTGTAATTTAATATATACTCATGAGAATAATTATAATAAATAGTATAATATAATGATATAATCTACGCAAATAATATATCGTATAGTAATATTATAATGATATAATATACACTAAGAATATAATGTACCCTAATAATAATAAAAAATATAATACTTATTTATTTCCGACATTTATATGCCGCCCTTCTCACCCCGAAGGGGACTCAGAGCGGCTTACAAGATATATATAAATACAATATATTATATTATTAGCATAGTACAATATCAGTATTATATATTACTATATTGTACTATACCATTATATTGTAATATTATTAGTAATATTACATGTAATATAAAATATATAATTATAATATTGTATTATTAGTATTATATTGTATTACATTATAATATAAATACTATATGTATATACAATTATATTAGTAAAGCACAGGAGACAGGAGACAACTCTAATAACATGCTGTAATATAATATATATTCATAAAATATTAATAATAATGATATGATATACAGAAATGATATAATGTACGCTAATAATGATAATAATAACAATAATCTATATAAATAAAAATGTAATGTTCGTTTGTGGATTAACAGAACTCAAAAACCACTGCGGGAATTGACACCAAATTTGGACACAAGACACCTAACAGTCCAATGTATGTCCTTCACTCAAAAAATTGATTTTGTCATTTGGGAGTTGTAGCTGCTGGGATTTATAGTTCACCTACAATCAAAGAGCATTCTGAACCCCACCAATGATGGAATTGAACCAACCTTAGCACACAGTTCTCCCATGACCGACAGAAAATACTGGAAGGGTTTGGTGGGCAGTGTCCTTTGGTTTTGGAGTTGTAGTTCACCTACATCCAGAGATCACTGTGGACTCAAACAATGATGGATCTGGACAAACTCTACACGAATACTCAATATGCCCAAATGTGAACACTGGTGGAGTTTGGGGAAAATAGAATCTTGACATTTGGGAGTTGTAGTTGCTGGGATTTATAGTTCACCTACAATCAAAGAGCATTCTGAACCCCACCAACGATAGAATTGGGCCAAACCTTCCACACAGAACCCCCATGTGGGCCACAGCAACGTGTGGCAGGGGACGGCTAGTGTACTATAATAATAATATAACTAAGCCTCTGGAAAAGGAGTCAAGTCACCTCCAATAAAAGGGCTCCCTGTGAGAAGGGTCTTTGCAAAAGTAGACCCAAAGGTGATAAAAGAACAGGTTGAAACCCCAAGGGACCCCCAGCAGTTAAGACCCCAGACCCGCTTCTCTTTTTAAAAGATGCCCCCACATGCTTCCTCCTTCATTTCTTCCCTCCCTTCGGGGCCCCCCAAGCGGCTGGGTTCGGCTAGGGCTCTTCTGTGGCTGCAGAGCAGCTTCCGAGGAGCCAAGAATAACCCAGACGTTTCTGGGCTGCGTCTAGAGGAAAAAAGAGCCTTTGGCGGCAGCGGCGGCAGCAGCAGCGAGTGAGTAATAGTCTGGGGTTTTGGGGGGAGAAACCCCACTCGTTTCCCCAACGGCTAAAGGAAGCGGGGAAAGGAGCCAGGAATTGGAGGCACAGATAGCGCAGAGCACCGAGGAAAGGAAGCAGCGGCTGAGAAAAGGGCTGCAAAGGATAATGCAAACATTCAGAGCCATGGGACCAAAAATGACACATTTCTTCAATTCTAAGATACTAAGACACAGTCATTGCAGGACAGGAAAAAAGCATCCTGTGTGTGTGTGTATATATATATAACCACCCACGATTCCACAGCATCACGCTAATGATGTCTATATAAGGGAAAAAGTGTATCTTAGAATCCAAGAACATGGCAAAAAGGGGGTTGCCATGAGTCTTTCCGGGCTGTATGGCCATGTTCCAGAAACATTTTCTCCTGACGTTTCACCCACATCCACAGCAGGCATCCTCAGAGGCTTATATATCTATGATAATAATATAATGTGTGTGTGTGTGCATATGTGTGTGTGTGTGTGTGTGTGTGTGTGTATCTTATAAGCCATTATGAGTCCCCTTCAGGGTGAGAAGAGCGACATATACATGTCATAAAAAATAGTAAATAAATAAGTAAATATCTGTGGAATGTCCAGAGTGGGGGAAAGAACTCTTGTCTGCTAGAGGTATATGTGAATGTTGCAATTTGCTATCGTGTTTAGCATTTAATGGCCAGCAGTTTCAAGGCCTGGCTGGTTGCTGTCTGGGGGAATCCTTTGTTGGGAGGTGTGAGCTGGCCCTGATAGATTCTTGCCTGGAATTCCCCTGCTTTTTTAGTCTTGCCCTTAATTTACTGTTCTGATTTTAGAGTTTTTTAAAATACTAGTAGCCAGATTTTGTTCTGAATGCCTGCCATAGATGTGGGCAAAATATCAGGAGAGAATGCTTCTGGAACATGGCCATACAGCACAGAAAACTCACAGCAACCCAATGATCCCAGCCATGAAAGCTTTCGACAGCACATGGCAAAAAAACCTAGGGAAACCCAACAACGGATGATGGGACAGCTATTTTCCACACCGTTTCCAGTCTGACCCAATTGCCTTCTGCTGCTTGTGTTTGAACCCAAAGCAGTGCAGAACTGCCTCAGTTTCATGGCAAATGTGAACTTAACAAAAGATAAAAGTAATTTCACTTCACACAAAAAAAACCCATGGGGAATATTATTTTCAGTGTTTTCTAAACATCTCCATAGGACCCTCCCAACTCCCTCACTTGGGTCCCTCGTTTTTTGGGTGACTTCAAAGCCCCTTCTGGGCTTCCAAGGCAAGACTGTCCCATAACTTGGGTCCCAAAGACCCTCCCCAAAAGACAACCCTATTCCCCATCTCACCATAGCAATGAACCGGCCAATGAAGCGGAAGTAGGTCAAGTGGTCGGGGTTGATGGAGGAAGCCGGGTTGATCTGGAGGCAGTAGTTGTTCTTCCCGGCGTATTCAAAGAGGCAGTACATGGGGTTCAGCACTTCATGGGACAAGAGGAAGAACCATTCCCTGCGGGGAGAGAGAAGGAAGCCTCAGGATATCAGGCCTACCTGCTGTTAGGAATTGTGGGAGTTGAAGTCCAAAACATCTGGAGGAAGGGCTGAAGTTGGCCCATGCCTGCTCTAAAATCAAAGTTTGTATGCATGGATCTATGTTGGTATGTTTGAAGGGATTGATCCTGGACTTTGGGAGTTATAATTCACCCCACATCCAGAAATCACTGAACCCAGCCAACGATGGATCTGGATCAAACCTGACACATAGACCTATGGTAAAGTAAAGATAAAGGTTTCCTCTGGACGTTAAGTCTAGTCATGTCCAACTGTGCGGGGCTGGTGCTCATCTCCATTTCTAAGCCGAAGAGCTGGCATTGTCCATAGACGCCTCCAAGGTCATGTGGCCAGCATGGCTGCATTGAGCGCTATTACCTTCCCACCAATTGATCTACTCACATTTGCATATTTTTGAAATGCTAGGTTGGCAGAAGCTGGGGCTAACAGCAGGAGCTCACCCTGCACCCTGGATTCAAACCACCAACCTTTTGGTCAGCAAGTTCAGCAGCTCAGCAGTTTAACCTGTTGTGCCACTGGGTGCTCCTATAGAACCCTGTTGACCAACAGCAAATACTGGAGGCATTTGGGGCGCCATGGCAGAGGATGATGGGAGCTGTAGCTTCATCTGCGTCCTTATGCATTTTCTAATAGGACAATTCATAAAACCCAAAACCAAACAAATAATGTTTCTTATGTTTATCCTTACAAGATCCCTAATTTGAGCATTGCCAGGTACCTAATCTAGTAAATATATTAATTATTATTACACATTTCCAACCTTGCCAGAGCATCATCTTGTGTATTTTCTCTCCTGTTTCCTATCACAGGCACATGTATGTATGTATGCCTGTATGTAAGCTTATAATGGGAAATGGAAAAGAAATTACACATGATGATGCTCCGATAAGGTTAGAAAAGTGTAAATTATTATTATTATTATTATTATTATTATTATTATTATTATTTGAAACACAACAAGATCAGTCCACAGCAGACAAGATCACTCTGCTGGCTGGTGTATTGGATCACACATCGGACACTTCCCAAGTGTCTAGGACTGTGTGATGTATCAGCGAATAATGTGTGCAGATCCCAGGAGCGCCAATTGTGTTTAAGTGCAGGCCAAGGTCTTGAGGCACTGCACCCAGTGTGCCGATCACCACTGGGACCACCTTGACTGGTTTGTGCCAGAGTCTTTGCAGTTCGATCTTTAAATCCTCATATCGTGTTAGCTTTTCCAGTTGTTTCTCTTCAATCCTACTGTTGCCCAGGATTATTATTATTATTATTATTATTATTATTATTATTATTATTTACACTCTTCTAACCATGCCAGAGCATTATCTTGTGTATTTTCTCTCCTGTTTCCTATCAGTAAACTTATAGATATAAGGTTAGAGAAGTGTAAATTATTAATTATTGTTTTACTGACCCAAAAACACAGTATGACACAGCAAATGAGATATATATGCTGGAATTCGTACCACAAAATCACAAGTTGAACACTTCCCAATAATAATAATAATAATCACCATCATCATCTATATAAATAAAAATGCAATGTTCGTTTGTGGGATTCACAGAACTCAAAAACCACTGGACGAATTGACACCAAATTTGGACACAAGACACCTTTCAGGCCAATGAGTGACCATCACTCATAAAAACACTGAAAAACACAGCAGAAGGGACTTAAAAAGCCAAAACACAAAAATTAGATTACAACACATGTGCAAAACCACATATATACACAAACATACATATATACACATATACATAAACATACACTCATACACACAAAACACATATACAGAGACTGGGCCACAGCAACGGGTGGCAGGGGATGGCTAATAATAATAATAATAATAATAATAATAATAATAATAATAAATCATTGTGGGAGTTGAAGTCCAAAACACGAGGAGGGAGGGCTGAAATTGGCCCAGGCCTGATGTAGAGGCAAGAGGCCAAACACCTTGAGTCACCTAGAGCTTGGAAACAAGAGGAGCAAAACCAGACCACCGTCTATACACACACACACGCACACACCATGGCTCCATGTGCGAGTGTCGATTTTCTGGCGCAGAGAGCCCCGGCATCCCGTCCGTGGTTCTACCCTGTGGTAGAACAGCATGACGTAACCTACCATAGGGTAAAACCACTGGAAGGACGCAGGGAGAGGAGGAAAAGGTGGAGAGGCTCCAGTGGAAGGGAGAGCAGACGCCGTCGGGAGAGGAAGAAGAGCATCCTCGGTCCTGAAACCACTCCACAGAGACCCCAAACGTCCTTCTCCGTCTGATGCCGCAGTAGCGCAATGGGTTAAACCCTTGTGCTGGCAGGATTGGAGACCAACACGTCACAGGTTCAAATCTGGGGAGAGCATGGGAGAGCTCCCTCCGTCAGCTCCAGCTTCCCATGCGGGGACATGAGAGAAACCTCCCACAAGGATGGTAAAACATCAAAATATCCGGGCGTCCCCTAGGCAACGTCCTTGCAGATGACCAGGGGAGAAGGGGAACCATCCAGAAAAAAATCAGGTTCTTATTATTATCATCATCATTCTTCTTTTATCTCCACATTATGTTGTTGTTATAATATTTTTATTATTACCCCTCCTTTATCTCCACATTCTATTATAATTCTTATCATCCATACTATGAGGCTCCAGCTCCTCATGCGGGGACATGAGAGAAGCCTTCCACAAGGATGGTAAAACAGCAAAACATCTGGGCGTCCCCTGGGCAATGTCCTTGCAGATGGACAATTTTCTCACACCAGAAGCAACTTGCAGTTTCTCAAGTCACTCCTGACACACAAAAAAGCTCCAGGCTGTTCTGCAGGGCCCCCAACCCGCCTCATGTTCCTCCCTTCCAGACCTCTCGAGCACATGATGCACTCACCGAGCGATTCCCCCGTAGTCCAGCCCCTCTTCCCCGCGCATGATGATGTAGAGCCGCCGCCGGAGGTCATAGGGCTTCATGTTCATGATCTGGGCACAGAGAATCATCAAGTTGGAAGGGGTACCCAAGGGTTAAAGTAAGGCATAATCCTCCAAAAGACAGCCTTCCAGCCTCACTTTGAAGGACAGAAGGAGGCAATGTGATATTGGGGTGGGAAAGGCTTGATCACAGTCCCCACTGCAAGTCTCACCTGCTGGAAGGAGTCCTCAAAGAGCGTTTGTCGCGAGACGCTGATCTTGACGTGGCTGGGAAGCGCGTTCGACTGCCAAGGGAGGAATGAAAGAAGGCAACACTAGAACCCTGGCCCTCCATTGTCCCACTTTTTGGGGGCCCTTCAAGCCCCCTTCCCTCTTCCTCAAAGGCAGGGGTCACTCACGTGGCACAGGAAGCGGAACTGGTGGAACTTCCAGCGGAAACTGCGGTCGTAGGCACCAGGGGAGCCTCCCTGTTTGCTCCTGAAAAGGACAAGGAAGGAGGGCTCTTCAGGTGGGCATCGCAGGCTGAACCCAGGGCAATGAAGCCATTATGGGCACAGTCAGTGGCTGAACCCATGGACCCCAGGCTCCCCTTCATGTGTCTCTCCCTACAACTACTTCTCTGTGGAGAGATCCAGGTTACTGACCCCTTCTCTCATCCCTCTTTGTTCTGGGGTCTTCCTCCCCATGGCAAGAGGATTCTGGGTGTTGCGATCCAAAAACAACCATTCTGAGAGGAAAGGAGGATCCATCGGATCATCCATCATCCAGGGTTTTATCATTTTACCTTGTCCATTTGTCCTGCCCATTGTATTCGATTTTATATTATTTTGCTTTGTTTACTCTATTTTGCTACTGTATGTATTTTATTGTGATGTAATTTTTGTTGTTTGCATATTGTATTTTATTTTGCTATGTTGTATCTTTGGGCTTGGCCTCATGTTAGCTGCCCCGAGTCCCCCTCGGGGAAATTCTGCTGTCTGAGAAGAATTTGGGGATTATTATTATTATTAGAAACACAACAAGATGAGTCCACAACAAACAAGATCATTCTGCTGGCTGTTGTATTGGATCACACGTCAGACACTTCCCAAGTGTCTAGGACTGTGTGATGTATCAGGAATAATGTGTGCAGATCCCAGTAAGGTGGCCTTCTGCAGCTGGCAGCTGGTAATTTTGTCAGCGCCGATTGTGTTTAAGTGCAGGCCAAGGTCTTTAGGCACTGCACCCAGTGTGCCGATCACCAGTGGGACCACCTTTACTGGCTTGTGCCAGAGTCTTTGCAATTTGATCTTTATATCTTCATATCGTGTCAGCTTATCATCATCATCATCATCATCATCATCATCATCAGAGCCCATGGCCCAGGTCTCCAAGTGGTCCCAGGTTGCCCCATAATAATCAAAGCCCCAAGAAGGGAGAGAGGGGTAGAAACAGAAGTGGCATCATTTTCCTCCCACTTAGTGACCTCCTATCATCCTCCCAAGACTGAGGATGATAGGAGATGTTGTCCAGGAAGAGAGAAGTCTGGGGACTCAGTTGACATGTTGGGAAAGCTGCTTCCATCCTGCCAGTGTGATCACTCCGAACCCCCAGCATTGCGCCAACCACTTGGAGAATCCCCTCTTCCTCCCACCACTTACTTGCCTTGTAAACAAACATCCCATGCCGCATGCCCAGACCATACATTTGGGAACAACATTGGGGGCACCGCAAGACAGCAGCCCGATAGAAGGAGGAATACATGCAAGGAAGCCTTACCCAGACTCAAATCCAGGACGAGGGTCCTTGAAGGTGGTGGTGCGGGTGTTGTGGTCCACAAAGTAGCGCACCCCTTCGCTTGTGTACTTCATCTCCCATCCAGGGGGAAGTGCCGGCTCCTGGATCATTCTGTCCGGAGAGAAGGGAAAGGGCTGTCAGGACCAGAACCCAGGACGTCGAGACGCCCCTTCTCCCAGGACCCAGCGTCCACTGGAGGGCTTGGCCTTTGCCCCCGAGGCCCCAATCAGGCCCCTTTGACCCCTTACCCTTGTGTGCGGGGGTCCTCCCATTGCGTGGTGCGCGTGTTGTGGTTGACATAGTAGACACGGCCGTTGTCCTGCCTCTTCTCTGGAAGAGGAAAGATAACAAGTGAGCGGTCCCTCCTCTGCACAGGATCGGTGGCTGCACCTCAAGGAGATGGAGAGACCCACAAGGACCGCAACAAGACAACTGGACCCCTTCCCTCAATAAACGCAAGACAACCAGGCACCAAAAATGGGTGCAAAAAAGGATCCATTGTTCAAAGGGGCCTGGCTTTGTGTCAGCAGCCGGTTTGCAGAAGCTGGCCTTCATGCAACTCCCCCACAGAGATGTCCCTGTTGCCCCACCAGTCCTCCAATCATGCCTGGGGTGTGATGCCTGAAAGGGCCGCCTTTCACTGAAATGGTCTCTGGGGTCCCACTGGTCCATGGCTGAGGAACCTCACTTCTTTGGATGGGTGAGGTGTGTTTCAAAAGGGACAGACTCTCCTTGTCCGCTGGCCAATCCTCTTCCCCTTCCTGGCCCACTTTGAGTAAGGGGAGGGGTTTCTGGTCCCAAAGGGTGTCCACACAAAGCCTCCAAACTAAGGGACCCTATGGGGATATTAGACTCAGGACCCCCCCCCCCCCAAATTGCCCTATGGATTTTTTGTTTGTCAGGAGCGACCTGCAAGTCACTTCTGGTGTGAGAGAATTGGCCATCTGCAAGGACATTGCCCAGGGGAACGCCCGGATATTTTGATGTTTTGCCATCCCTGTGGGAGGCTTCTCTCATGTCCTCGTATGGGGAACTAGAGCTGACATAAGGAGCTTATCTGTGCTCTCCCCAGATTCGAACCTCTGACCTGTCAGTTTTCAGTCCTGCCGGGACAAGGGTTTAATCCATTGTGCCACTGGGGGCTCTTAGCCCCATGAGTAAACAAAGGTGATTCCATCTGAGCTTCTCCTGAATTCCACTGCCAAGTGAGCTTATTGGGGGAGAGCAGGACAGTGAATAGGGGCAGGTGGTGGCTCTTCTCAAGCCTCAGTGCCATCCCAGTGGGGTCGCTCTCCAAAAGGAAGCCAGCAGACACCCATAGATACAACATGCATGCAGGAATCCAGGCCAGGTCTGTTTGGATGCCCTCAATGTGCCCCATCCACTCTTGGTCTACCATTCCACCCCACATTCACATCTCATTGGCCAGGCTGCATGCCTAGCTGGGTCCAACATCTCTTTTTGTGGGGGGTTTGCTACCATTTCCTCAGCTCAGCCCCCTCTGGGAGACTTGGCGCTGAACAGGCTGCGCTCTGGCACCACGAGATGCAGAGCCAACCTTAAGAAACGGGGCCACAAAGTGGAGTCCACGACATGTGAGTGCGGAGGAGAGCAAACCACGGACCACCTACTACAATGCAACCTGAGCCCTGCCACATGCACCATGGAGGACCTTCTTATAGCAAAACCGGAGGCACTCCAAGTGGCCAGTGAAATGCACAGCAGGGCAATTTTCAGCCAGGGGGGAACCTTTATTTTTCTATCCCACCGCTGTCACCAATAAATATGAAACAAAAGACGAACAATCTTCAGGCAGGGGAGACCTTTATTTTTCTATTTCACCACTGCCACCAATAAATATGAAACGAAAGACAATCTTCAGGCAGGGTGGACCTTTATTTTTCTATCCCACCGCTGCCACCAATAAATATGTGAGGCACTCAAACTCAAAAGGGCCCTTTTATCTATTTATTTCACCAAAGACTGGTCAAAGGACATTTAGTATAATGCCAAGTTTATAAAACTTTGTGTTTTTAAATACATTACGACTATACCCTCAGTTCGCTTCTGACACGATGACAGAAAGGATGGAGAGAAGAAGTCCTAGAAAGGGACCCCCCCCCCCATCGCCCCCACATTTCAGAACAAGAATGCAGGCATAACTGCCCTTGAACCTGATCTGAACTCAACACCTTATAGGAGAGAGTTTGCCATCCACCTCCTTCCCTGTAGGCTTTTCAAGCAGAGGTGGGATGGCCTTGTTGGGAGGAATTGATTTATACCTTCCTGCTGGAAATAAAGGGTTTGGACTGGATGGCCCTTGGAGGCCCCTTTCAACACTAAGCCTTTGCGAAGAGAGACTCCCATCACTTCGGGACCTTCAAAGTGATGCAGGTGGAGTCAAGATTTGAACTAAGACCTCTTGGAGAGAGTCTTCCCTCTGCTACCTTCAGTAGTAAATGAAAGAAATCCAAAGGAATGAATGATCCTAGGATAGTGTTTCTCAACCTTCCTAATGTCGCAACCTCTTAATGTTGTTCCTCATGTTGTGGTGACCCCCAACCATAAAATTATTTGTGTTGCTACTTCATAACTGTAATTTTGCTACTGTTATGAATAGTGATGTAAATATATGATATTTCTTTATTTTATTTACAACATTTATATGCCGCCCTGCTCACCACGAAGGGGACTCAGAGCGGCTTACATACAATATATTATATTATTAGCATAGTACAATATCAGTATTAATTATTACTATATTGTATTATACCATTATATTGTAATATTATTAGTAATATTACCTGTAATATAAATATATAATTATAATATCTTATCATTATCATGGTATTATATTGCATTACATTGTAATATTATAAATATTATAATGATATGCAGGATGTATTCCCATTCACTGGAACAAATTTTGCACAAATACCCGATATGCCCAGATTTGGGGGGGATTGATTTTGTCATTTGGGAGTTGTAGTTGCTGGGATTTATAGTTCACCTACAATCAAAGAGCATTCCAAACTCCACCAATGATGGAATTGAACCAAACTTGGCACACAGAATTCCCAACAGAAAATACTGGAAGGTTTTTGTGGGCATTGACCTTGAGTTTTGGAGTTGTAGTTCACCTACATCCAGAGAGCACTGTGAACTCAAACAATGATGAATCAGGACCAAGCTTGGCACGGATACTCAATATGCCCAAATGTGAACACTGGTGGATTTCAGAGAAATAGAGCTTGACATTTGGGAGTTATAGTTGCTGGGATTTATAGTTCACCTACAATCAAAGAGCCCCTTGAACCCCACTAATAATAGAATTGGGCCAAACTTCCCACTCAGAACCCCTATGACCAACAGAAAAGACTGTGTATTTTCGAAGATGTTCATGGCCAGAATCATTGGATTGTTGTGTGAGTTTTCTGGGCTGTATGGCCATGTTTCAGAAGCATTATCTCCTGACGTTTCTCCTGCAACTATGTCAGGCATCTTGAGAGGACCCCACAACCTCTGAGGATGCCTGTCATAGATGCAGACGAAGCGTCAGGAGAGAATGCTTCTGGAACATGGCCATACAGCCTAGAAAACACACAAAACCCCATAAAATACTGTCTTTGGCAACCCTTCTGGCACCCCCCCCCCTGTGACCCCTCCAAGGGTCCCGACACCCAAGTTGAGAAACATTGTCCTAGGGGGACACAACCAAAACATATATACAAATAAGTCAAGCTGCCCATAGAAGTCAAGGAGCGGGCACTTACCCCATCCAGTGGGCAGTGGTCCAAGGGGGTCATTGTCCGGCGGGGCACCCGAGGACTAGAGGGGGCAGAAGAGGCACCAGGTGAGGGTGAAGGAGACACTTGGGATGGTGGGAGGGGGGCTGTGCCCCTTCCTCCTGCCGGCCAAGAGGGCATCCTGGTATGGGACAGACCAAGGGGCGAAGAGACAGAGGGCAAAGCTGGGCGCCCAAAGCTCCAAGGTGAAGCAGGGAAGGAAAGCATCTGCTGCTGTTGCTGCTGCCGACTGAGTGCCCCTCGGAGTCCCACCTCCAAACCCAAGCCCCCTCCTCCTCCTCCCCAAAAAAGAAGCAGGGGAAAAACATCCCTCATGGCAGGCCTTTCCAATGAAATCATCCCCGCAAGCCCCGCCGCCGTCGTGTCCACGCCCAGCGCTTCCTGGCTGGGACTGGAGGGGAGAAGGAAGGCCCAAACGGTGCTGCCTGAGCCTCCCGCCCTCTTCGCCAACACTACCCCCCCCCACCCCACTTTCCCTGCCTTGACATTGGGCTGCGAAACCTGGCGGCCTGTGAGCGGAGACTGAAGGAACATTCATGCCACACAGACAGACAGACAGACAGGCGTTTCCCCCTTGAACCGCACCACTCCCCCAAAGGCACACACACTCAGGGCCCCATACAAAGCACCTTTATCCCGCTTCCAGGCCCCTGTTTGCATTAACCCCCCCCCCTCCCCTCTCGGCCAGATGGGACCCAGGAGGCTCCCGTCAAAGGCCCCTTACAATTTGTGTGCAAAAAAGGGCATCCTTGTCCCAAGCAGGTAGGGCTCCCGCCCCACCCGCTCCTTTCGGTCGAGGAAGGAAAATGGGGCGCATTCAGAGGAAGCCCCCTCCCCTCCACTCTCAACCTGGTCCTCACTAACTGGAAGCCAAGGGAGTATCCCCACTTTCCAAATGGGACAAGTGACACCAGTTCCATCCCATTTTTGGAAGGGTAGGGCCCATCTTTTGGTGTGATTACAAGCAGAAGGATCAATATATAGTAAAGGTAAAAGTATCCCCCTCACATTAAGTCTAGTCGAGTCCAACTCTGGGAGGTAGTGCTCATCTCCATTTCTAACCCGAAGAGCCGGCGTTATCCGTAGACACCTCAAAGATTATGTGGCCAGCATGACTGCATGGAGCGCTGTTACCTTTCCACCAGAGCGATACCTGTTCATCTACTCATATTTGCATGTTTTCAAACTGCTAGGTTGGCGGAAGCTGGGGCTGACAACGGGAGCTCATGTCACTCCCCGGATTCGGACCGCTCACCTTTTGGTCAGCAAGTTCAGCAGCTCATCGGTTTAATCCACTGCGTCACCAAGAGCTCCAGGTCAATATTTTATTTATTTATTTATTTATTTGCAACATTTATATGCCACCTTCTCACCCCAAAGGGGACTCAGAGCGGCTGCATAGATGCAGGCAAAACGTCAGGAGAGAATGCTTCTGGAACATGGCCATACAGCCCGGAAAACTCACAACAACCTAGTGATTCTGGCCATGAAAGCCTTCAACAATACATCATTATTTTTTTATGCCTAGATCGGGATCCAGCAGAGGTTCGGTGGCACTCGCCCACCTTGGCCAGTTACTGCCCTAATGCTGCTCTTTGAGGAAGGACACGTTCTGTCGGAGGTGCTTTGATGATGCTTTTCCTGCCTGGCAGAAGGGGGTTGGACTGGATGACCTTTGGGGGTCCCTTCCAACTCTCCAATTGTATGCATAGATGCAGAAGAACGCAATGTGCTGGCTCAGCCGTGGATGTCTATATGCCTTCTCAATGCAAATAATGCAGGAAGTATTTCACGAGATACAGCATCAAAAGGCCCACATGCCGCACCATATTGCTCCATATTGGCCCAGGTTCTACCATTATCAGTGACTATATTCATGGCTTTGCCAATGCATCCCAATCCAGTATGGCTCAATTTGACTGGCTGTTAGGAACTGTGGAAGTCCATAATACCTGGATTGCCCAGGCTGGCCCATGCCTGCTGTAGATATTTAGCCCTAATAGTCCTCCTCCTTTTTAGATAGTGCTATATATTGGCCCGGAGCCCCCGGTGGCGCAGCAAGTTAAACCACTGAGCTGCTGAACTTGCTGACCAAAAGGTACCTAATATAGTAAATATAATAATATAAGAATAATAATAATAATAGTAATTGATACTTTTCTAACTTTGCTAGTATAAATAATAATAATAATAATAATATAAATCACACAGTCCTAGATACTTGGAAAGTGTTCGACTTGTGATTTTTTTATATGAAATCCAGCATATAGATCTCGTTTGCTGTGACATACTGTGCTTTTGTGTCAGTAAAATAATAATAATAATAATAATAATAATAATAATAATAATTACTATATTAGATACCTAATATTCGACCCTTGCCAGGGGGCCCCTGGTGGTGCAGCAGGTTACCCTGCTGAGCTGCTGAACTTGCTGACCGAAAGGTTGGCAGTACGAATCCTGGGAGCAGGATGACCTCCCGCTGTTAGCCCCATCTCCTGCCAACCTAGCAGTTCGAAAACATACAAATGTGAGTAGATCATGCTTGGAGGAGCCTATGGACAATGCTGGCTCTTCGGCTTAGACATGGAGATGAGCACCAACCCTGTGTCGGGCACGACTAGACTTAATGTCAAAGGGAAACCTTTACCTTTTATATATTGTATTTATATAATATTATAATATAATGCAATATAATACTAATACTAATAATATTATTATTATACCTGGCCAAGGTGGGCGAGTGCCACCAAATCTCTGCTGGATCCCGATCTAGGCATCAAAAAATAATGATGTATTGTCGAAGGCTTTCATGGCCAGAATCACTGGGTTGTTGTGAGTTTTCCGGGCTGTATGGCCATGTTCCAGAAGCATTCTCTCCTGACGTTTTGCCTGCATCTATGCCAGGCATTCTCAGATGTTGTGAGATCTCACAACCTAAGGATGCCTGCCATAGATGCAGGCGAAACGTCAGGAGAAAATGCTTCTCTAACATGGCCATACAGCCCGGAAAACTCACAACAACCCAGAGTAATAATGACTTTTGATTTTAAATCAGGCAGTGAGACCAGGCTTAACACGACCCAAAATAATAATAATAATAATAATAATAATAATAATAATAATACTTTATTTATACCCCGCTCCATCTCCCCCAGGGGGACTCGGGGCGGCTTACATGAGGCCACGCCCATCAATACAGTCAACACAATATTGCACAAAAGCATAACACAATATAACACCAAAGCATAACAGAACTAGATAATAAAAAACATAAAATGCAAAACCAATATAATAAGCGACACAGCAGTATAAAATCGGACATGAGACACACAGGATTACATGGGGCAGGACCAAATTTAAGGATTAAAAATTTTTAAACACTGGGAGATTGGGCAATGGAAATTCTTGGGGAAATATGGAAAATATGGGACAGAAGAACACCCCAAATGAAGCTCTCACCCACCCTGCCCAGATACTGCCCTAATACCGCTCTTTGAGGAAGGAGACATTCCAAGGGGATACCATTTGGGGCACTTCCTGGTCCGTTCTGCTGCTTCCTTTGAGCTCATGGGAGGCAGGAAGTGGGCCTTTTTGGGTTCAGAAACCACCACCACCCATTCCCCCTTGATTACCTGGTAGAGGAAGCGCTGGCTGAAGTGCTGCATGGCGCCGTGGAGCTGGCTGCGCTGGCTTTGCCACTGTTCATAGTTGCGTACGTACTCAGCTGTGGGGCGCTGCCAAGTGGTGGTGCGTGTGTTGTGGTCCACGTAGTAGTAGCGCCCACGGGGGTCCACCCGCTTCTCCCAGCTGCAGAGACAATGGGGGGGGGGGGGACAGCTCAGGGACCGATGCCCATAGAAAAGGGTCTCCATTTGGGCCCTTCTGCCACACACTGCAAACCAAGCCCCTCTCCTTTACCTGCAGTGTTTCTCAACCTTCCTGATGTTAGATAATACTATTATTATGAATGATGTATTAGTACTATGCTAATAGTATAGTATGTTTTATGTACATGTGACTTGTAAGCTGCTCTGAGTCCCCTTCGGAGTGAGAAGGGCCGCATATAAACATCGTAAATAAATAAATTAATAATAATAATAATAATAATAATAATAATGCTGTGTTGACCTCCAACCATTAAATTATTTCCGTTGCTACTTCAAAACTGTAATTTTGCTACTGTTATGAATCATAATGTAAATATCTGATATGCAGGATGGATTGGGCACAAATACCCGACATGTCCAAATTTGAATACTGGTGGAGTTGGGGGGATATTGTCATTTGGGAGTTGTAGTTGCTGGGATTTATAGTTCACCTACAATCAAAGAGCATTCTGAACTCCACCAACAATGGAAATGAACCAATCTTGTCACACAGAACTCCAATGACCAACAGAAAATACTGGAAGGATTTGGTGAGCATTGACCTTAAATTTTGGAGTTGTAGTTCACCTACATCCAGAGAACACTCTGGATTCAAACAAAGATGGATCTGGACCAAACTTGGCACAGGTGCTCAATATGCCCAAATGTGAACACTGGTGGAGTTTGGGGAAAATAGAGCTTTAAATTTGGGAGTTGTAGTTGTTGGGATTTATAGTTCACCTACAATCAAAGAGCATTCTGAACCCCACCAACGATATAATTGGGCCAAACTTCTCACACAGAACCCCCATGACCAACAGAAAATACTGTGTTTTTTGATGGTCTTTGGTGACCCCTCTAATATCCCCTCACAACCCCCCTAGGGGTCCTGATCCCCAGGTTGAGAAACACTGCATTAATGGATGCTAGAAGCCCATTCCCACTTTGGACAGACAGGACTGGGGGGGAGGGGGGCATTTATTGATGCCAAGCCAGGCAAGCTAGCAACCTCTATAATAGAGGAATAGCTGCTCCTGGCCATTTCCAGAAAGGGCCATTTGCTCTTCCTTTGGGGAAGGAAAAAGACGTAACAGTGAGGTGTTTTTGGAGGGGCCAAGAGCTGCAGAAACAGATCTGGGTTGTTTCTGGACACTGGTCTGGTTGGATTTTAACGCCAAAGATGGTGGGAGGAGCCTTGCCATGGCACCTATGACCTACCCAGGTGGGAGGGGCCGCTCCCAGGTGGTGGTCTTGGTGTTGTGGTCCACATAGTAGACTCTCCCATTGGACAGCTCCCGCTGCTCCCACCTTCAGGGAAGGAAAAGAAAGAGAGAGGCACTCAGCGGTCATCCAGTCCTGCCCTAGGCCATCTCTAGTTTGCAGCTGCCCACAAAGTTATTTTGTTTTCTTGCAGTAATAATAATAATATCACACTCATCTCCTTTTGGCTTGAGGTGGGACACAACATAAAATAATACATCTATGCATCTTTTGCAAAGAGCCCTCGGTGGCGCAGTGGGTTAAACCATTGCGCCAGCAGGACTGCTGACCCGTCCAAATCCCAGAAGAGCAGGTTGAGCTCCCCCTGTTAGCTCCAGCTCCCCATGCAGGAACATGAGATAAGCCTACCCCAAGGATGTAAAACATCAAAAACTTCTGGATGTTCCCTGGGCAGCATCCTTGCAGATAGCCAATTCTCTCAGATCAGAAGCGACTTGCAGTTTCTCAAGTTGCTTACTGACACACACAAAAAATCTTTTGCAAAGCTTTGAAGAAGTTACTATTCTGGATAATGAAACCTAGAATTCCTCCTCCGCCATGAGCCAGAATGGTCATCTAAAAAGTAACTTCTTTGAAAGTAGATGCTATGACTCTCTTTCTTTGGAGAGATAAATCAGGATACTACTACTACTACTACTACTGCTAATAATAATAATAATAATAATAATAATAATAATAATAATAATAGGATTTAAAAATAGGACTGCACAAGCTAGTAAAGGTGGTCCCAGTGATCGGCACACTGGGTGCAGTGCCTAAAGACCTTGGCCTACACTTAAAAACAATTGGCATGGACAAAATTACCATCTGTCAGCTGCGAAAGACCATTGTACTGGGATCTGCATGCATTATTTGCCGATATATCCCTTGGGAAGTGTCTGACATGTGATCAAATCCCAAAGCCAGCATAGTGATCTTGCTTGCTGTGCACTAATCTTGTTGTGTTTCAAATAACAACAACAACAACAACAACTATTCCAGGCCTCTACAAACTGCCTTTAGGTTTCCTTTGTGAGTAGAGATCAACATCCTCCTCAAGTGTCACAAATCCCAGAACTGAACTCTGATACCTTCAGCAAAAGATGGAAAGAGGTCCCTTGTAAGGCAGATTAGGGGACACTGTTGTTTCCCCCAAACGGCCTTCTCATGAGGACTGGAAACTTGCATTTTTACTAAAGCAAATGTGGGATGTGGAGTCATGGGGATAAGTTCTACCGCTTTGAATTCCCCCAGGGGTGAGAAAGGCGGTATATAAATACTGTAAATAATAAATAAATAAATAAATAAATAAATAAATAAATAGTAAGGCCTAAGGATGGAGATGCCAAAACCACGCCAGGGAACTGCCCCATGCCGCCTCCCAACCAAACCCTAGGAGTCTCTGCATCCGCCCCAAGGCTTCCCGGCCCAGGCCTGGCTCGGGGAGGCCTCCGTCCCGCCAGCTGGCCACTTTGCCCAAACTGCTTGCCACATGGACCACCTCCTCCTCCTCTTCCTCCTCCCTCGCTGAGGCCCATTTGCTCGCAAGCAAGGTAAGTCTGCCATCCAAGCAAGACGCCTGGCGGGCCTTACGTAAGGAACCACAGCCCCGCAGCCGCTGCCAGGGAGCACAATGCGCCTCTTTGTGCTGTGCACAAGCAGCAAGAGAGCGAGAGACGAGGCGCAAAGTGCTGTAGGCACTGCTGTGTTAATGAGGGCGGCTGCTGTCTGTCCCCGGTGCAGCCTCCGCTGATAGGAACCAGATGCAGGGGGCAAAGCGGGAGGAGGCCATGGCAACAGCGGCAACTGCAGGGCCACCAGATGTAAGGAGAGTGAGTATGTATGTTTGTATGTATGCGCAACACCAAGACGATCACCTTCCCCATTTGTGTGCACTATGGGAGCACCAACAGCACCCTATTTCTGGTCTCGCGCCAATGGATAGAGGTTCGGCGTCCAAATTCAAGCCCTGCTCCACGTGCATCTAAAGGAGGCCTTTGTTGCTGGCCACATGGAGCGCAGATGTGTGCAAGGAGAGCATGGAGAGAGCCCTCCTCTCCTCCTCCTCTTCTGCGGGGCTTTACCTCGGTGCTATTTGGGCTCATGCAAAGCTCCAAGGAGGAGCCGAAGTTTGCAGCATGCGCTCGGAAGTGCCAAACGCACTGCCAAGAGGAGAAGGAGATGGGAAAGGGAGCAAGGCATGTGCACAGCAAAGCATTGGGAGGTTGCAGGGGAGATTTGGCTTTCCTGGAGGGGAAAAGCAATCTCGCCATCAAGAGCAAAAGGGGAAATTTGGCCCATATCTCAAAGCCCACAGCAATGGAGGGGGAATCAGCATTGGATTTCTCCAAGGAAGGCAGACCAGCTCCTCTGCATCCCAAGGAGCCTCTGTGTGCAAAGCCAAGGCACCCTGACCTCCAGGACCCCCAGGTGCAAGAGGGGCTGCCGGGAAGCATGTCCGTGGCGAAGGCGAGGAAGAAAGGGCTCTTTGAGGCGCCTGGCCTTTTCCATTGCTCGGCAAACAGGAAGCGGGGGGCGCAGCTCGCAACCCGCCCGGCATCAAGGCAGCCTGAACTACCTGAGAGCAACTCATGCACAGAGAAACACACACACACACAGAGGTTCAGGAGGCCTGGAGGACGAACAAAGGGCTCCCTTCTTCCTCGTCCGAAACACAGACAGCCATTTCAAGCCCCCAGAGAAAAGTCTGGGAGTCAAAGGAGGAGGGTTGTGGCCACCCCTTCACAGGAAGGACTCAAGGAAAGGGGAGGCTTGTGGGTCGCCCCAAAGGGAAGGCAGGGGCTTGTCATCTGCATGCAGAGGCACCAAAGAATGGAAAGGAGGAGAGGGAAGACTGTTAGGTTTCATCCCTGGACTGCACAAGTCTCTTGGGTCATCAAGTTTCCAGACCTCAATGAGTAGCTAGACTAGAGATAGGACTAAGTCAATGGCTAATAAACTTTTTTTGACCAGGGATCACTTTGACCAGGGACCACTTGACCAGGGACCACTTAACCAGGGACCATTTGACCAGGGACCACTTGACCAGGGATCACTTGGCCAAGGATCACTTGACCAGGGACCACTTGACCAGGGACCACTTTGACCAGGGACCACTTTGACCAGGGACCACTTGACCAGGGACCACTTTGACCATGAACCACTTTGACCAGGGACCACTTGACCAGGGACCACTTTGACCATGAACCACTTTGACCAGGGACCACTTGACCAGGGACCACTTGACCAGGGACCACTTTGACCAGGGATCACTTGACCAGGGACCGCTTTGACCAGGGACCACTTGACCAGGAATCACTTGACCAGGGATCACTTGACCAGGGACCACTTGACCAGGGATCACTTGACCAGGGACCACTTGGCCAGGGATCATTTAACCAGGGACTACTTTGACCAGGGACCACTTGACCAGGGACCACTTTGACCAGGGATCACTTGACCAGGGATCACTTGACAAGAGACCATTTGACCAGGGATCACTTGACCAGGGATCACTTGGCCAGGGATCATTTGACCAGGGACCACTTGACCAGGGATCACTTGACCAGGGACCACTTTGACCAGGGACCACTTGACCAGGGATCACTTTGACCAGGGAATACTTTGACCAGGGATCACTTGACCAAGCACCACTTTCCAACATTAGTACCAAAAGGATTACAAATCAATTTTTGGTCAACTTTGTATTCGGTTTGGGGTGCTGATTCAGAAAAAATTGCATTGGATAATCGACCCCAGCTCTCGTTTCTGACACAGAACATATGCCATGGTCAGCAATAGGGAAGGAGTGGCAGGCAGCATGAAAGGAGTGGAAATAAAATAAAATAAAATCATAAAGAGGAAGGAGGCTCGTGGACCAGATTTTCATCCCCGCAGCCCACTGGTGGTCCGCAGCCCACAGGTTAAAGACACTGGACTAAGCTGAGGGATTCCTTTCCCCACCTTACCATGCATGTTTCCCAAAAGGGCTTTGCCTTTACTCTTCCTGCTAGCCACTCTTTCCTCCCCCATTTGATGTTACAGGGGGGACTTTGATGATACAGGAATGGAATTCTGTGAGGGTGCTTTGTCTTTCAGTTTTATTGCCCTGGGTTGACCATGTGGTCTCTGCCATTGTTCTCTTCTGCCTTTTCTTCCTTCCAGTGGGGATGCATTTTGCCTCTCTCTTTAGGCAAAATGTAGCTGCATTGGGTTTTTTTTTTAGTTTTTACCCTTTTAACTCTTTAGAAGATAAGACTTAGTAAGCTAGTGTGCTCCAAGACCTTTTCTATCAAGAATGTATTTCTTCTACTTCAATAAATATTTTTGAACCTGAAGTTCCAATTTGGCAATCCTGTGCCATCCTAAGGAAAAGGTTTTCCCAGCTCATCACATGTATATCTCTGCTGGTTATGAAGTTTATTTTTGGTACTCTGCTATATTTACGGTGGAATCACCCAAACTGAGGATTATTTTTGAGCCTCACAGCTCAGATTACCCAACAAAGACAATAATATATCTCCAGAAAACCCAGCCAGTCTCTGCCCCCAAAACCAGCATCGTGGCTCCTCACAAAGCCAGAATCGTGGCTTCTTTTCTCCTTACTCCCTGCTTAAACATCACAGGTTCTTGGGGAAAGAGCTGCCTGCTCTGCTTTGCATTCTTACCACTCTTCTTAAGCAGACATGGGCAAACTTCAGCCCTCCAGGTGTTTTGGGCTTCAACTCCCACAATTCCTAACAGCCTACTGAGTTGAAGTCCAAAACATCTGGAGGACTAGAGTTTGCTCATGCCTGTACTGAAGGTATTCGCAGAGCCATCACCTCAGGAATCTCTCTGCCCCCAAGTAAGAACATGGCCTATTTCCATGAGTAGCCTCTTACCTGCCCAGGGATCCATCACAGGGTGATGGAGGGAAACCAAGAAGCGGGAGGCAGTGCCAGGTCCTCTGAGGCAAGAGGCAGGCTTTCCCTCCCACAGCCTGGTCCCAGCTCCTCAGGTACCACTTACCCGGTGGGCAGCGCCTCCTGCGCATGTGCAGAGGGCTGGGAGGCCTGGCTCCTGGGGTCGGGGGGTGCCTCCTCCTCCTCCGTCCCAGGGGGTTCCTCAGTTGCACCTGAGTCAGCACTCAATGCAGGTGCAGGGACTTCCTCTTCGACTTCGGGGAGAGAAACGGCAGACTCCCCATTCACTGAGAGGAGAAAGAGAAAACTGTGGGTGAAGTGGGTCAGGGAGGCCCCTTCCTCCCTCATATAATGCCCTTACAAAAGGACCACAACCACATCCCCATTGCAAGCCATACCTGTGCCATTCAGGACAGGGCTGCTCTGGGCCTTTCCTGCTGCCTGGCGCCGCAGCCAGGGGCTAGAGCTTTGCTCCCCGTTGACCGGACTCTGCCTGGCCTCTCCGGCCGCCCCTTGTCTGTGCGATCTGCGGAGGAAGGGGACACGGGACCGTCACCACCCTCACCTTCATCCCACTGATATCCCAACTTTTAGCTCAGCCTTAAGACAGGGTATAAATAAAGATTATTATTATTATTATTATTATTATTATTATTAAAACAGTGGATGTGGCTCTTAATGAGACATGCCGCATTATCACGGGGTGTCTGCGCCCTACACCACTGGAGAAATTACACTGCTTAGCCGGTATTGCACCACCTGACATCCGCCGGGAAGTGGCAGCCAATAGTGAAAGGACCAAGGCAGAGACATCTCCAGCTCATCCCCTGTTTGGGTATCAGCCAGCACGTCAACGACTTAAATCCGGACATAGTTTTCTAAGATCTACAGAGACACTCGCTGGAACACCTCAGCAAGCGAGAGTCCAAAAGTGGCAGGCTCAAACCCAGAACCTCAACCAATGGCTGATACCAAATGAGAGACTCCCCCCTGGGCACACAGAGGACTGGGCGACTTGGAAGGCGCTGAACAGACTGGCTCTGGCACCACAAGATGCAGAGCCAACCTTCAGAAATGGGGCTACAAAGTGGAATCCTCGACATGCGAGTGAGGAGAGGAGCAAACCACTGACCACCTGCTGCAATGCAACCTGCCGCATGCACAATGGGGGACCTTCTTGCAGCAACACCAGAGGCACTCCAAGTGGCCAGATACTAGTCAAAGGACATGTAATCAACTACCAAACTCACACATTTTGTATTTTCTCTGTTTGTTTGCTTTGTTCTGTTAGAAATGTAATATAATTGACTGGCTGCGCTTGACACGAAAAATAAATTATTAATATTAAAAAATTAACTGCATTATGTGGCAGTGTAGATGGGGCCAAAGTCTAGCTCAAAAAAGCCTAAGGATGGAACATTTCCAAAGCAATTAAAACCCCAAGAATTCAAAGTAATTTACTAGTCCTTTAAGAAAAATGAGAACAAAGCACAAACCATATTAAAAGACCTTTCTGAAGAACCACATGATGATGATGATGATGATGATGATGACTGTTTTCTCTTAAAGTTTCGCTCAAAGCGGTGGATGGAAAGGTTATTTTGGGAGGTACTTCTTCAGAGGTGATGGCCAAGATGGCCTTCCTCTGAGGCTGAGAGAGTGTGACCTTTACTCAAAGTGGGTTTCTGTGGCTGAGGAGGGATTCAAACCCTTAGTTCCAGAGTCCTATTTCACTACCCTATGCTGTTGGGTTTCCTACGTCATTATGTTTTTCAGGCCCACCCTCCTCCTCCTCGACATCTGGCATGAATGTGCCCAAGCGAGTGCATCTGTTGGCACAGACTCTTTCGGAAAATGGGAAAACAGGGCCTGAAAGGGGGCCAAGGAGGAAGATTCCATTGTCCTGCTCCTCCTTCCAGAATCTCCAAAGAGGCCAGGCTTGAATTAGCCCTCCTGCCTTACGGGGCGGATGCCTCTTGCGGGGCTCCTAAATTCGGCAGGGCCTTTTAATAGCTTGCATGGAAGCAAACCAAAGTGAAGCCAGTCACATGGCCAAGAGAACGGCTAGGGAGCGCGCCAAAGACAACGCAGCCAGGGCTTAAAATAGGAGCCGGACGGTGGGAAGAACGGGCCACAAAATGAGGACAATTTGGGGAGGAGGGCGTATGTGCCACAGTGGTCCAAGGAGCCTCCAGACCCACTGAGAGAAACTTAGGAAAGCGCCACATACCAGACTCAGAAGAGGATGCAAGTGACATAGATAGATAGATAGACAGATAGATATAGAATTATAGAATTACTGAGTTGGAAGAGATTTTGTGGACCATCCAGTCCAACCCCATTCTTCCAAGAAGCAGGAAAATTGCATTCAAAGCACCCCCAACAGATGGCCATCCAGCCTCTGTTTAAAAGCCTCCAAAGAAGGAGCCTCCACCACACTCCGGGGCAGAGAGTTCCACTGCTGAACAGCTCTCACAATCAGGAAGTCCTTCCTAATGTTCAGATGGAATCTCCTTTCTTGTAGTTTGAAGTCATTGTTCCATGTCCTAGTCTCCAGGGAAGCAGAAAACAAGCTTGCTCCATCTTCTCTATGACTTCCTCTCACATATTTATACATGGCTATCATGTGTCATTTCAGTCTTCTCTTCTTCAGGCTAAACATGCCCAGCTCTTTAAGCTGCTCCTCATAGGGCTTGTTCTCCAGACCCTTGATCATTTTAGTCACCCTCCTCTGGACACATTCCAGCTTGTCAATATCTCTCTTCAATTGTGGTGCCCAGAATTGGACACAATATTCCAGGTGTGGTCTGGCCAAAGCAGAAGAGAGGGGTAGCATGACTTTCCTGGATCTAGACACTATATTCCTATTTATGCAGGCCAAAATCCCATTGGCTTTTTTTGCCACCGCATGACATTGTTGGCTCGTGTTTAACTTGTTGTCCATGAGGACTCTCAAGATCTTTTTGACTCGTACTGCTCTGGAGCCAGGCATTCCCAATTCTCTCTCTCACCCCTTATTTATTTATTTATTTACTGTATTTGTATACCACTTTTCTCAGCCTGTAGGCGACTAAAGGCAGTTAAAGGGGTAAAATTCAATGCTTACAATATCATAAATACAATTAAAAACATAACATATAATAAAAATTAAACATATCAATAAAATATAAATTCATAGTGTCTCCTTGCTAAAACGTTGTATATATATACACACACATATCGACTGAGGTATATACACCCTTTAACTATGGAGCCCCCGATGACGCAGTGGGTTAAACCCCTGAGCAGGCAGGACTGAAGACCGACAGGTTGCAGGTTCAAATCCGGGGAGAGGCAGATGACCTCCCTCTGTCAGCTCCAGTCACAATCCAATAAGACATGGTAAACTACAACATGAGTAAAACTTTACAACATATACTCCAAAAGCAATTAAGATAAAATTATATTAAAATGGCTTTAAAATGACTAAAATCAGTATTCATTTAAAATGTATGGTAGCAGAAGAAGGGGAAGAGTCTTCCCTGGAGGACCAGGCCAAAGCAAATGCTTCCAGCTCATCCTGTTTTGCCTGTTTCCCCCTTCATCCCTTTGTCCCTCTTAGGGGAATCCCTAAGGGCCAAGACTGATGCAAAGGATATGCCACCCATACAGGCTCTCCTTCATGGGAACCGCCTGAGCTCTGCGAGTGCAGCATTTTTCCGAATGAAGCAGAGAGTGTTTGAGGACCAGGACATCCGTAGGGATACCAAGGTGCTTGTTTATAAAGCTATTGTCCTTCCAACCCTGCTATACGCCTGCGAGACGTGGACAGTCTACAGACATCACATGCAACTCCTGGAACGATTCCATCAGCGCTGCCTCCGGAAAATCCTGCAAATCTCTTGGGAAGACAAGCAGACAAACGTCAGCGTGCTGGAAGAAGCAAAGACCACCAGCATTGAAGCGATGGTCCTCCGTCATCAACTCCGCTGGACCGGCCACATTGTCCAGATGCCCGACCATCACCTCCCAAAGCAGCTGCTCTATTCCGAACTTGAGAATGGAAAACAGAGTGTTGAAGGACAGGAAAAGAGATTGAAAGACGGGCTGACAGCCAACCTTAAAAACTCTGGCATAGACACTGAGAACTGGGAAGCCCTGGCCCTTGAGCGCTCCAGACTGGAGGTCAGCTGTGACTAGCAGTGCTGTAGAATTTGAAGAGGCATGAATGGAGGGCGAAAGAGAGAAATGTGCCAAGAGGAAGGCGTGTCAAGCCAACCATGACCAGGACCGCCTTCCACCTGGAAAGCGATGCCCTCATTGCGGGAGAACATGCAGATCAAGAATAGGGCTCCACAGTCACCTACGGACCCACTGCCAGGGCACTATACTTGGAGGACCATCATCCTCGGACTACGTAAGTAAGTAAGCATGGGAACCATGGTCCCACTTTGGTGGCACAAGGCTGGGACATTCCTCTGCTCTGAGGGTACTTTTCAATCACACACTCTGCAGATGATGGTGGTGGTGGTGGTTCCTCAGCTAGACCCAAATATCTCGGCCCCAATATCCCTGATCCAGTTATCTCTCCTCTAATTCCACTTTTCTTTGCAAGATCAGTCTCTTTTGCCATAGGAAAGGTGGGCTCAGGCTCCAAAAAGGCCGGGGCTCATTCTCAAACCCATGTGAATCTCCCAGACTTTGGGTCACAAGGGGTCAGAGATCAACAAGGCTCCGAATGAGCCAAGAGAGAGTTGCCTCTTGGGAAGGAATAGCCTCCATGTTAACAGAAAAGACCCACCTATTGACACAACGTTGTGTCAATAGGACCAAACAGAGGTGTTGAATTTGGCAGCTGGGTGATACTGCTACCGCTGCCTCCATCCATCATGGCAGAGCTGCCAGGCCCAAAAGATGGGTTGGGATGCAGGGAGGCCACCGTGACATAGACCCAAATGGAAGTAACTTTTTTAACCATGTCATTACCAACTTGAGAAAAAACAAATTGCTTCTGGTGTGAGGGAATTGGCCTCGTGGACAACAAGTTAAACGCGAGCCAACAAAGTGATGTGGTGGCAAAAAAAAGCCAACGGGATTTTGGTCTGCATCAATAGGAGTCTAGTGTCTAGATCCAGGGAAGTCATTGTTACCCATGCTCTATTCCGCCTTGGTTAGACCACACCTGGAATATTGTGTCCAATTCTAGGCATCGCAATTGAAGGGTGATGTTGGCAAGCTGGAATGTGTCCAGAGGAGGGTGGCTAAAATGATCAAGGGTCTGAAGAACAAGCCCTATGAGGAGCGGCTTAAAGAGCTGGGCATGTTTAGCCTGAAGAAGAGAAGGCTGAGAGGAGACATGATAGCCATGTATAAATATGTGAGAGGAAGTCAAGGGAGGAGGAAGCAAGCTTGTTTTCTGCTGCCCTGGAGACTAGGACACAGAACAATGGCTTCAAACTACAAGAAAGGAGATTCTATCTGAACATTAGCTAGAACTTCCTGACTGTGAAAGCTGTTCAGCAGTGGAACTCTCTGCCCCGGAGTGTGGTGGAGGCTCCTTCTTTGGAAGCTTTTAAACAGAGGCTGGATGGCCATCTGTCAGGGTAATTTGAATGCAATTTTCCTGCTTCTTGGCAGGGGGTTGGACTGGATGGCCCATGAGGTCTCTTCCAACTCTATGATTCTGTGATCTGCAAGGTCTTTGCGTAGGGAACATCGTGGTATTTTACCATCCTGTGGGAGCTCCTCTCATGTTCCCACATGGGAAACTGGAGCTGACAGACAGGAGCTCATGCCGCTCCCCGGATTCAAACCACCGTCCTTTCAGTCAGCAGTCCTGGATTCAACACACTGCACCACCAAGGGCTCTGATGCTAGTAACTGGGAGACGAGGAAGGGGGGCAACATGAGGGTCCCTGGCAATTTCTACACCAGTGTTTCTCAACCTTCCTAATGCCGGGACCCCTTAATACAGTTCCTCATGTTGTGGTGACCCCCAACCATAACATTATTTTTGATTCATAGTTTGCCTACAATCAAAGAGTATTCTGAACCCCACCAACGATAGAATTGAGCCAAATTTTCCACATAAATCCCCCAAGAGTTTTGGAGTTGTAGTTCACTTACATCCAGGGAGCACTGTGGACTCAAACAATGATGGATCTGGACCAAACTTGGTATGAATACTCAATATGCGCAAATGTGAACTCTGGTGGAGTTTAGGGAAAATAAACTTTGACATTTGGGAGTTGTAGTTGCTGCGTTTTATAGTTCACCTATAATCAAAGAGCACTCTGAACACCACCAACAATAGAATTGGGCCAAACTTCCAACACAGAACCCCCATGACCAAGATAAAATAGTGTGTTTTCTGATGGTCTTTGGCAACCCCTCTGTCACTCCCTTCACGACTCCCACAGAGGTGCCGACCCCCAGGTTGAGAAACAGTGGAGGCTGGGCATCCCAAGCCACCAAAGAGCACAGAGAGCCATGGGCAAGCAAGGAGCCTTGCTCGCAAGGAGCCACCTCCCAGACCCTCTTTGGTTTGGGGCCAAAGAGCTCCAGACAGGAAGCAGCGCAGCCCTCCCTGTCCTTCCTGGCAACACAGAAGAGGCAGCCTGGCTATTAAAAGCCCATCCCTCCCATCTTTCACTGCCCACGCAGCCCTTCTTGGCCTGGACTTATTCTCCCTCCTTTCTTGGCTTGCTCTCCCTCTCTCCATCCCGCCTTCTTTCTCTTGCTTCTGCCCCAAACCTCGGCTTCTCTGCCTCCTCTCGGCCACCCCATGCCCTCTTCCCAAATGCGCCACGCTCCTCTGCTTCAAGGCCTCCTCTATGGACATCCAAGTCCCACCAGAAACAACTCAGGCCCTCACCTGGAGCAGCCGTTGAAACAGTTGGTGCTGGGTGCTTGGGGCCTGTTTTCAGGGGACGCAGCCGAGCCTCCGCCAGGGTCCCTTCCGGCACCTTGGGATCCTGCAGAGCAACAACAAGGAGAGCAATAGGTTAGGCAGCAAGGCACATTATTCGCCTTGCAAAGGGTTGAGTGTAATACATGGCCTTTGTCTTTCCACTATTTATTTATATACTTCATTTATATCCTGCTTTTCTCACCCCAATGGGAGACTGTCTAGGCCACCTTCCTAATGCTGAGACCCCTTAATGCAGTTCCTCATGTTGTGGTGACCCCCAACCATAACATTATTTTTGCTGCTACTTCATAATTTTTGCTACTACTATGAATTGTCATGTAAATACCTGGCATGCAGGATGTATTTTCATTCACTGGACCAAAATTTGGCACAAATACCCAATACGCTCAAATTTGAATTCAGTGGGATTGATTTTGTCATTTAATATTTTTGTCATTTAATATAATTTCGTAATTTAACTAATAATGCTTATCATCTATATAAATAAAATGGAATGTTCGTTTGTGGGATTAACATAACTCAAAAACCACTGGACGAACTGACACCAATTTTGGACAAAATACACCTATCAGGCTAATGTATGTCCTTCACTAAAAAAAATTGATTTTGTCATTTGGGAGTTGTAGTTGCTGGGATTTATAGTTCACCTACAATCAAAGAGCATTCTGAACTCCACCAACAATGGAAATGAATCAATCTTGGCACACAGAACTCCCATGACCAACAGAAAATACTGGAAGGGTTTGGTGGTATTGACCTTGAGTTTTGGAGTTTTAGTTCACCTACATCCAGAGAGCACTGTGGACTCAAACAATGATGGCTCTGGACCGCACTTGGCACAAATACTCAATATGCCCAGATGTGAACACTGGTGGAGTTTGGGGAAAATAGACCTTGACATTTGGGAGCTCTAGTTGCTGGGATTTATAGTTCACCTACAATCAAAGAGCATTCTGAACCCCACCAAAGATAGAATTGGGCCAAACTTCCCACACAGAACCCCCAAGACCAACAGTGTTTTCTGATGGTCTTTGGTAAACCCTCTGACACCCCCCTCGAGACCTCCCCAAAAAGTCCTGACCCACAGGTTGAGAAATGCTGTAAGAGAATAAGACAAAGAAGAAAGCAACTGATATTATTGTTTCTGTGCAAAATGACGTATGTTGAATTGTTGAATATAGTGATGTATGTCAGGATTTGTAATTATTTTATCCCCACAATAGTTTGTGGAGATAGAAGATATCTTATTGTTATGTTCTCTTAATGCCTGTCTCACTGAAGATATTTACTAAAGCATTGGAAATAAAGCTTTAAGAAACGGAAAAAAAAAGAAGCAATGGAAGCGATGCCTCTGAGCATGCCAAAAGTGCTTGTATTCCAGGCCAGAACCACCAATCAGGGTTCAGAGCTTGCGACTCACTTCCACAGGCCTTGTCCCACTTCTGGCCTGAGCAGACCCAGTTCTGAGAGCAGAAGCCCCAGGGCCTGGCAGACCTCAACGGTGGCAGTGGTGCCGACGTCACGCACTTTCCCCCCACCGTCCCTCCATCCCTTCCTTGTGGCACCCAAATGCTGGCCCTCGCACTCACTCACCTTCTGCCAGGACGATGCCACCGCCATTCGGCAGGCTTCCCACGTCAACACCAGGGCCGTCCAGGAAAATCGTCAGCTCCCCTCCGGAGACAAGGCTGCCTTTGTTCTCCATCTGCAGGTTCAAGGTCAGCTGCTTGTTCTCCACTGGGAGGGGAAGACAGGAGGGAAGACGGTGACACAGGGACCGACTGACTGACCCATGGACAGAACAGCCTCCGTCCCTCGGGACCAAACCGCCCCAAAGCCTTACTGCATCCTCCCTTTGGACCCACTGGACCGTGGAGCAAGAGGGGATGGCTCCAGAGCACATGCAGAGGGCCTAGCATCCCGCACATTTCCTACCATAAGCTCATATGTAGCACTGTCCACGCTGCACTCCGCTCTGCCAGAGAGACGCTACATATTCCTACAGATTCCTGGTTTGGAAAGGGCTGCTGCGCACATAGCCTAGATCCCCTTTTTCTCCAGCTGGGCAAGGCACTCCTCCATTTGTCAATGTCCAAATCTTGGTGGCAAGGAGGGTGTCAAAGGAAGATTTTAGGAGATTTGGGTGGGGGGGATGCATACACATTTGGGGACCCTCCTTTACAGAAAACCAGAGTCTCTTTGGGGGAATTGGAGGGGGCAGAGCCAAGAAACAAGCTGGCCTTCTCTTGAGGGCGTCTCAAATGCAGTGAGCCTTTTTCCGTGGACTACAGGCCCTCTTTGTGTGCGCATGGCCATGCTCCGCACACACGGCGGCCTCGCCCTCCCCTGCAAAGACAAGGTGGCTGTGTCTCCTCTGGGCAGCGCCCCACTCCCTCCCATGGCTTCCTTTAAGAAAATAAACACTGCGGCATAAAGGGGACCTTGCTCTCCTGGCCTCCTCCTCCTCCTCCTTGCGCACAAAGCCAGGTTGTATGTGTGTATGTGCAAAGTAGCATGTCGGGACTGTTATGGTTTGGGGGGAGAGCCATGAATGGGGCCTCAGTTCCAGGCCTCTGCTGCTGCCGAAACAACACCCAGAGCTCCAGGGCCCCCATTTAGACAGGCATTCCCAAACGGAGCTTTCCAGCAGCCAGGTAGGGAGACTGAGTTCAAGCTCAAGACAACCACATCATCATCACTTTTATTATCCTCCTCCTCCTCGCCGGACAGAGAGACTTTCTCCTGATTCCACGAGAGTTGCATGTCAAACATTTCTCGTGTCTCTTTGTAGGCTCCTGTCGTATTGTTCACCTTCAAAGAGACGCCAGAAGTGTTGGAAAAGAAGCAACACTCAGCCTTGAAGAGTGAAGAATGCCTCACTGTAATAGGGTTAGACTAGTGGTTCCCAACCATTTTTGACCAGGGACCACTTTGACCAGGAACCACTCTCCAACATTACTACCAAAAGGGTTAGATCAAGGTAAACGTTTCACCTAACATTAAGTCTCATCGTGTCCGACTCTGAGGAGTGGTGCTTCTCTCCACTTCTAAGCCAAAGAGCTGCCGTTGACCATAGACACCTCCAAGGACATGTGGCTTGCATGGAGCGGCGTTATCTTCCCACAGAAGTGGTACCTATTGATCTATTCACATCTTCCCACAGAAGCGGTACCTATTGATCTACTCACATTTGCATGTTTTCGACCTGCTAGGTTGGCAGAAGCTGAGGCTAACAGCAGGAGCTCACCCCACTCCCCGGATTTGAACCATCAGCAAGTTCAGCAGCTCAGTGGTTTAATCTGCTGCACCACCAGGGGCCCCAAAAAATGGGCAGGGGCCGTCCAGTGGCCGTGGACTGAGCGGGATACGAACTCCTGCTCTTCAGGTCTCTAGCCTAGGCTCTCCTCTCCCCAAAAGGAATCAACTTTAGATTCAGTTTGGTTATTTGGGGTCCTGATTCAGAAAATTGCACTGGATAGACCACATCAGCTCTAGTTTCTGATACAGAACATATGCCATTGAGTAGCCGCCATCTGCTCGCCCACAGAAACCATATTTAATAATCTAGACTTTGTTTTAGGTTTTGCGGTCCACTGGTGGGCCACAGCCCACAGGTTGGGAACCACTGGGTTATTTATTTATTTACGACATTGATATGCCGCCCTTCTCACCCCAAAGGGGACTCAGAGCAGCTTACAAGATATATATACATACAATATATTATACTATTAGCATAGTACAATATCAGTATTATATATTACTATATTGTACTATACCATTATATTGTAGTATTAGTAGTAATATTACAAATAATATAAAATATATAATTATAACATCATATTATTATTATTATTAGTAGTAGTAGTATATTATATTACATTATCTATATAAATAAAAATGTAATGTTGGTTTGTGGTATTCACAGAACTCAAAAACCACTGGGGGAATTGACACCAAATTTGGACACGATACACCTAACAGCCCAATTTATGTCCTTCATTCAAAAAATTGATTTTGCCATTTGGAAGTTGTAGTTCCTGGGATTTATAGTTCACCTACAATCAAAGAACATTCTGAACCCCACCAACGATGGAATTGCACCAAACTAAACACACCGTTTTCCCATGAACAACAGAAAATACTGGAAGGGTTTGGTTTTGGAGTTGTAGTTCACCTACATCCAAAGATCACTGTGGACTCAAACAATGATAGATCTGGACCAAACTCTACAAGAATACTCAATATGTCCAAATGTGAACATTGGTGGAGTTTGGGAAATAGAATCTTGACATTTGGGAGTTGTAGTTGCTGGGATTTATAGTTCACCTACAATCACAGAACATTCTGAACACCACCAACGATAGAATTGGGCCAAACCTTCCACACAGAACCCCCATGCTGGCCACAGCAACGCGTGGCAGGGGACGGCTAGTAATATTATAAATATTATTTGTATATACAATTTGTTATATTATATTATATTATATTATACTATATTATATTATATTATATTATAAGCATAGCACAGGAGACAAGATGGAACTGTACCCTGGCCCTTCCTCTCTTCAGTCTGGCCCAGAGCAGTAGTTGGTGCTGGGGGTTAGATAATTGAAGTCACGTAAAGCATCCTCCCTCGCTATCCTGATCCTTCTATGATGTAAACTGGCACTCTTGAGAGATGTCCCTCCACCTCTTCTTCTTCTCTCAACCTTCAAAGACGTGGTTAGTTTAGATCAGCAGGTTAGAGTCACCTTCCTGACTTAAAACAATGGAGTCTCTACAATAAAGCTGCAATCCCCCCCCCCCCCCTCCACTCCTCCTTCCATAAAAACAAGGGGGCCACAAACGGGCATCTCAGGACACCACAAGGAGAGGAACTGACAACAAAATTAGATTATTTGAAAGGAGCGGTTTTAATGTTCCTCTCCATTGCACGCATCATTGCAAGTGAGGGGGGGGAGGAGATGAGTTGAAATGGGATAGACACTCCATTTAAATAAATGCTTTGGGTACATAAATAAATTCAGTTTGCCAAACATTGGCTTCTCCAGCTGGAAAAGGGAGGAAAGGGCCAAAGCAGGACACAGGGTTCTAGCTCAAAAAATCCCTGCGGTGAATCCGACAATGGGGTCCTTGACAGAAACACCATTGAGGTGCTGCTCCAGAGGATGGCAGTCTTTTGAGGGACTCCCTTAGGACCCATCTTCCACCTGAAGCCCAAGTTCCCCACAGTTATGGGGAGAAGAAAGGAGCCAGTCAGTCTCAAGCGGGGTTTTGTAGAGAACTGTAAAAGCTAGGCAAAATGAAGGGCTTCCCTCTTGATGCCACCTGAAAGTGGAGTGTAGAAGGGGGCTTTGTTTGCACAGCGTAGCTTGGCAGGCCCAGAGCCCCTTGTTTTACTACCCATGGGCAGACATGGGCAAACTTCATATGCACACTGGTATGCCTGTTATGGGTGCACAGGTACCCCAGGCCAGGCCCTACAGTGCAGGGAGTGTCAAAACCCTTCTGACCCAAAGCAACACAAGCGTTGGACATAAAGCATCCGGACTTGTATCTATAGAGCAGACATGGGCAAACTTCAGTCCTCCACATGTTTTGGACTTCAACTCCTACAATTCCTAAGAACCAACTCCTACAATTCCTAAGTGCCTTTGTAAGCCGCTCTGAGTCCCCCTCGGAGTGAGAAGGGCGGGGTAGAAGTGTCCGAAACAAACAAACAAATAAATAAATAAATAAACCATATCCTGCTCAGTCCATGGCCAGTGGACAGCCCCTGCCAATTTTTTTGGGCCCCTGGTGGTGCAGCGGATTAAACCACTGAGCTACTGAACTTGCTGACCAAAAGATGAATGATTCAAATCTTTGGGAGCAGAGTGAGCTCCCACTGTTAGCCCCAGCTTCTGCCAACTTAGCAGTTAGAAAACACACAAATGTGAGTACATCAATAGATACTGCTAGATACTGCTAGCAGTATCTATAGATACTGCTTCTGTGGGAAAGTAACAGCACTCCATGCAGTCATGCTGGCCACATGACCTTGGAGGTGTCTATGGACAATGCCGGCTCTTTGGCTTAGAAATGGGGATGAGCACCACACCCCAGAGTCAGACACAACTAGATTTAATGTCAGGGGAAGGCTTTACCTTTTTATCTTGTTGTATGTATTTTAATAGTGTTGTATCTCTTGTTTTAATAATGTTATGTCCCACCTCGAACCGTAGAGAAAGGCGGGTATTAAATTCATCATTATTATTCTACTTATTATTTAACTTCTTTTAAATCCTAACAGAGCATCCTGGGTATTTCCTCTCCTGTTTCCTACCATAAGCGCATCGATAGTACTGGCTGTGCTGCATTTCACTCTCCTAGATATACCAAATATTGCTGCAGAAAGAACCCCATTCCTTGCCCCAGAAGAGGAATCGAGGCGCTGCCCTGAGGAGTTCTGTGTTTTGAAGCAGATGGAGAGGGAGCGGTTTTGGCCCAGAGGAGAGCCTCTCCCTTCCCCTGAATAGAGGAGGCCTTTATGCTGTGCTATGAAGCCACAAGCAACAACAACAACAACAGGCGCAGAAGCAACAGGCAGCAGCCAAAGGTCTGAGGTTGCAGGGCCTTTGGCGTCAGGGAAAGGCTGCCTCTTTCTGAAAGACACACACACAACTGGGAGCCGCAGCAGCCACCTCACAGACCTGGGAGGCCTCTCAACCATGTTACAAGGAGGCCTTGTTTCCTCCTCATTATTATTGTTGCATTTATATTTATTGCTGTCTGCTACCATGTGCCTTGAAGTCATTTGTATCAGTCTTGATCCAGACTTTTTAATTGTCCTTGCCCATTCCTACATACACACATATGTGATACACAAACCTGGGAGCCAATTCCATGCTTATGTTGCTGTTACTGTTATTTTTTTGTTCATGTTGTGACTTTGTATGTTTTGATGTTGTTGCTTGGAAACCGCCCTGAGTCCCCCCGGGGAGAGAGAGCGGTATATAAACAAAGTATTGTTGTTGTTATTATTATTATTATTTCCAACTGACGCAATCTCCAGGTGAACCGATGACAGGGATTTCTGGGCAAGACCCATTCAGAGGGAGATCGCCATTGATGTCCTTTGAGGCTGAAAGTGTGTGACTTATCCAAGGCCACCCAGTGGATCTCCATGGCTGAGTGGGCATTTGAACCCTAGTCATACTGCCTATTGCAGTTTTCTCTTAGCAATGTTTATTCAGAAGAGGTTTTGCTATGGCTTTCCTCTTCAGGATCCGGTTTGATTCATTTCTTAGCTCAGAAAGAGTACACAAGCAGTTGTTTTAAGATCAATTCTAAGAAAGATCAATTCTCCATCGGCCTCTCCATCTCTCAACTCATCTGGGTTTGGACATGGCTCTCAAATCAATGAAGCAGAGACTGTGGGACATTGTCTTTTGTGAGCTGCACTCTCGTTCTTATGTATCTTGCTCCCCTAGTGCCCTGTCCATACATTATGTTGGGACTTTCCACACACCAAACTATCTAAAGAACTTGACTGTAGCCAAATACCGCTGCCTATTTCCCAAAGAGAGGTGCAATGTACTCTCGCCTGAATAGCTGTGTGGGAGATTTGCAGTTACCCCATATAATGAAAGATTCTGCCCATGTAACAAACAGGAAGTAGAATGCATCTCCCACATTCTACTCTCATGCAGTTTCTATGAACAGGCCCGAGCACACATAATCAGCCTGCTACTAAGAAACTTACCAGCAAGTCCAGGAAAATTTTATGTGAAGTTTCTACTTAGTGACAACCTTCCCCATGTGACCTTGGTGGTTGCCAAGTTTCTTTCTGAGGCAGCCAGAATTAGACAATTCACAATTTTAGACAAAGGCTAAGACACACCAGCACTTCTTGTAGTCTTTTACCTATGTTTAACCCATGTATTTTAAGCAGTTTTAACTGCTGTAAATTTTGTCCATTTGTGTGTTTAATCAACCAGATGTTCTTAATCTCATTACCGGCATACCGTGTATACCTATGGTGCAATAAGGGTCTTTGGATCATAACAAAATGTCGTCATTATTGACAGGGCTTTTCTCTGAAGCTGGGAAAGTATGATATGCCCAAGGTCACCTAAAAAGATTCAGACTCTGCGAGGATTCAGACTCTGGTCTCTAAAGTTGTGATCCAACACCCGAACTGCTACATCAGGCTAGCTCTTTATAGATATCCCTGTCTTCTTCCCATCTGGGGGTCCATTTAAGCTGTCAAATAATTGCAGTTTGGTACCACTTGAACTGCCAAGGCTCAATGCTATGGGATCCTGGGAGCTGCGGTTCTGCAAGGTCTTTCGCCATCTCAGCTTCAGGAAATACATCTAGAGCAGTGTTCCTCAACCTTCCTAATGCCACGACCCCTTAATACAGTTCCTCATGTTGTGCTGACCCCCCAACTATAACATTATTTTCGTCGCTACTTCATAATTGTCATTTTGCTCCCCTTATGAACTGTAATGTAAATATCTGATATACAGGATGTATTTTCATTTACTGGACCAAATTTGGCACAAATACCCAATACGCCCAAATTTGAAAACTGGTGGGGTTGCAGCGGGGGGGGGGGGGGGGGGGGGGGGGGGGGGGGGGGGGGGTTGATTTTGTCATTTGGGAGTTGTAGTTCTGGGATTCATAGTTCACCTACAATCAAAGAGCACTCTGAACACCACCAATGTAATTGAACCCCAACTTGGCACACAGAACTCCCATGATCAACAGAAAATACTGGAAGGGTTTGGTGGGCATTGACCTTGAGTTTTGGAGTTGTAGTTCACCTACATCCAGAGAGCACTGTGGACTCAAACAGTAATGGATCTGGACAAAACTTGGGACAAATACTCAAAATGCCCAAATGTGAACGCTGGTGGAGTTTGGGGGAAATAGACCTTGACATTTGGGAGTTCTAATTGATGGGATATATAGTTCACCTACAATCAAAGAGGATTCTGAACTTCACCAGTGACAGAATTGGGCCAAACTTCCCACACAGAACCCCAATACCTTGAAGGGACTTGCTGGTGAGAGCCTTCCTTCAGCCTCACAAACTCTCCCTCACCCACACATGTGCATCATGCTGCCATGTGCCGAGCATGCCTGCTCTCTCCTCCCTGCTTGGAGTCTCGGAAACAACCCTCCCCTTGGCTGAGAGACCAGCCAATCACAGTGGAGGAGGACTTTTGGTGGGAGGATTCACCGTCCATTTCCAAAAAGGAAGAGAAGGACAGGCGGAGAGATCTTCAGCCTTCTCTGCAAAAGGGTTCCTAAGACCATCAGAAATATATGTTTTCTGATGGTCTTTGGCAACCCCTCTGATACTCCCTCGTGACCCCCCCAAAGGTACCGACTCCCATGTTGAGAAACACTGATCCTAGAGCCTGTCTCCATGATTCCCATAAATAATATTTACCAAAAGGCTACTGTCTTCAGAGCATAGCATTCTTCTCCCATTCTGTTGGTTTACAGTTTTATTCTGAGCTTCATTTATACAACTGCCCTGATTCCAAGGCTTTCAGCTGAAGTGGGGCTAAACCGCATCCCTTTTATAGTGCAGACACACAGTGGGAAAGGGGTTTTGGAGCCTAAGAGCCTCCTAGAAGGCCCTGCTCCCACTAGAGACCGGGGCCAGGCCTACCTCTGCCTTTGCTCTGCCTAAGAAGACCGGGTAGGCCAACGGAGGCTGCGCCAAGCAGCTCGTTGCGCAGGGTATGACAGCTCCACAACTTGACCTCCAGCTGGGTCTGCGGCGTGACATTCCTGTGGACAAAAGAAGGGCAAAGACAAAGGAGTGAGGCTGCAGGATCGGGGCCAGACCCACATTAGCAGGGCCATTGCAAAAACCACCCAAAGAAAAGCCATGGAATCCTTTCTGCAACAAAACTTCAGAAGGCCCTGAGAATCTCACTTGACCAAAAAAATGCAAAGGACATATTCTGCAGCTGCCCAAGGCTTCCAAGAAGTTCCTTCAGTGAGTGGACTACAATTCCTAGAATGGGTTAAAAATTCTGGGAATTCTAGTCTCCCCCAAAAGTCTCAACTGATATATAACTGGCAAAGACATGAAATGGTCCAGAAGCAGATGGTTCAGGGTGAAGTGTGGCTCTCAGACCACATCTGGGCTCAAGGATGCTTCCATTACCCTCACCTTTTCCTGCCCCAAAAGAAGGGCAAAGGGGCCTATTTCTGCAAAAAATGAGGAGCAATTAATTCGTTTTTAAAGACATTACAGGGAGCTCCTGCTTGGTTTAACACTGAGAAAACTCCAAGCCCTGTCAGTCAAAGTTTTCCTTCATGTCAGGAGCGACTTGAGTCACTTCTGGTGTGAGAGAATTGGCTGTCAGCAAGGACGTTGCCCAGGGGATGCCAGGATGTTTGATGTTTTACCATCCTTGTGGGAAGCTTCTCTCATGTCCCTGCATGGGGAGCTGGAGCTGAGAGAGAGAGCTCAACTCACTCTCACCAGATTCAAACTGGCAACCTGTTGGTCAGCAGTCCTGCCAAAGTAGGAATAGGCTTCTAGTTGTCTACGTGTGAGTTATATTAATTGTACTGTTTATTTTGCTTATTGCTTGTTGCTTTTATTGATGTGTTGTTGGGCTTGGCCTCATGTAAGCCGCTCCGAGTCCCTTGGGGAGATGGTGGTGAGGTACAAATAAAGTTATTATTGTTGTTGTTGTTGTTGTCACTTCCAGGGCATTTGGTTGCATTTTCAGTAGTCTGTGTGTCCCCAGAAAACTGGCCGGCAGTGGGGTCCTAACTGCCCATCCCAATCCTGGGAAACCTGGGCCCAACTGGATCGCTCTCAGCAACTGTTGCAGTTCCTACATCCCTTTCCTCACTCCTTGCACCAGCCCCCCCCCCCCCCCCCCCCCAATACAAAACCAGCCTGGATTCTCACAGGACGAGGCTTTCGTTCCAGAGCAGCTCTGCACCTCCCGCCTTCTTGGCCGTCCTCTTGGTCTCGCTGGGGAGTCCGTCAGCTGCCACTTCCACGAAGGAGGTGATGCGGGGCTGGCGCCTGCCAGGGCCCTTAGGCTTCGCCGATACAACTACAAAAGTGGAGAGAAGGGAATGGAGAGTTAAATAGAGACTGACTCCTGAGACTGAGGAGGAAGCCATTGCCTTGGGAGTGGCCAACACAGATAGCCAATATCAGTACTAAAACATTGCCGCCCTTCCAGAGCCTTTAAGGGTCCAACAGACTCAAACTGCAAGAAAAGACATGCTATCTAACTGCTAGGAATTATTATTAATATTGTTATTACTACTACTACTACTACTTTGTTGTTCATTCATTCAGTCGCTTCCGACTCTTCATGACCTCATGGACCAGGCCACGCCAGAGCTCCCTGTCGGTTGTCACCACCCCCATCACCATCAAGGTCAATCCAGTCACTTCAAGGATGCCATCCATCCATCTTGCCCTTGGTCGCCCTCTTCCTTTTTCCTTCCATTTTCCCCAGCATCATTGTATTCTCTAAGCTTTCCTTTCTTCTCAAGATGTGGCCAAAGTACTTCATCTTGGCCTCTACTATCCTTCCCTCCAATGAGCAGTCGGGCTTTATTTCCTACTACTACTACTATTACAACTACATTTATTTATATCCTCCTTTTGCCTATCAGTCAGGACCCAAAGCAGCTCACAGCATTGAAAACAATGGAACTCAAAATCTTCAACATATAAATGCCAAAACAGAAATATGAAAACAAGTTGGTTATATTCCCATTAAACTGTTAAAATGACGGGTTTTTGAATGTTTTCATGGCTGGAATCACTAGGTTGCTGTGAGTTTTCCAGGCTGTCTAGCCATGTTCCAGAAGCATTCTCTTCTGACCTTTCACCCACACCTATGGCATGCATCCTCAGAGGTTGTGAGGTCTGTTTGAAACTAAGAGAGGTTTATATATCTGTGGAAGGTCTAGAGTGGGAGAAAGAACTATTGTCTGCTAGAGGTACGTGTGAATGTTGCAATTAATCGCATTGATTAGCATTGCAAAGCCTTGTAGCTTCAAGACCTGGTTGATTCCTGCCTGGGAGAATCTTTTGTTGGGAGGTGATTAGCTGGCCCTGATTGTTTCATGTCTGGAATTCCCCTGTTTTCTGAGTCTTGTACTGTCCTGATTTTAGAGGTTTTTTTTAATACTGTTAGACAGATTTTGTTCATTTTCATGGTTTCCTCCTTTCTGTTGAAATTGTCCACATGCTTGTGGATTTCAATGGCTTCTCTGTGTAGTCTGACATGGTGGTTGTTGGAGTGATCCAGCATTTCTGTGTTCTCAAATAAAATGCTGTGTCCAGGTTGGTTCATCAGGTGCTCTGCTATGGCTGACTTCTCTGGTTGAAGTAGTCTGCAGTGCCTTTCATGTTCCTTGATTCGTGTTTGGGCAATGCTGCGTTTGGTGGTCCCTATGTAGACTTGTCCACAGCTGCATGGTATACGGTAGACTCCTGCAGAAGTGAGAGGATCCCTCTTGTCCTTTGCTGAACGGAGCATTTGTTGGATTTTCTTGGTGGGTCTGTAGATAGTTTGTATGTTGTGTTTCCTCATCAGCTTCCCTCTGCGGTCAGTGGTTCCCTTGATGTATGGCAGGAACACTTTTCCTCTGGGTGGATCTTCATCTTTACTCTCGTGGCTTGTTCTTGGTCTTGCAGCTCTTCTGATGTCTGAGGTGGAGTCTCCATTGGCCTGGAGAGCCCAGTTGAGGTGGTTCAGTTCACCTTGGAGGAGGTGGGCTTTCATGGAAACCATGAAATGAACAAAATCTGGCTACCAGTATTTAAAGAAACTCTAAAATTAGGACAGTAAATAAAGAGGAACACTCTGAAATCAGGGGAATTCTAGACATGAAACAATCAGGACCAGCAAACACCTCCCAACAAAGGATTCCCCCAGGCAGTAATCAGCCAGGCTTTGAAGCTGCAAGGCTTTGCAATGCTAATCAAGCTGATTAATTGCAACATTCAAATTTGCCTCCAACAGACAAGAATTATTTCTCCCACCCTGGACTTTCCACAGATATATAAACTTCCCTTGCTTAGTTTCCAATATACCTCACAACCTCTCAGAATGCCTGCCACAGATGTCAGTGAAATGTCAGGAGAAAATGCTTCTGGAACATGGCCATGCAGCCCGGAAAACTCATAGCAACCCTGTTAAAATAATATTTTGGCACTAATAACTGTTGAAAAGTGGAATGGTAGGCTTATGAAGTGGTGGGTTCTGTGCAAAAGGTGCACGTGGTATTTCTTGCAAAGGAAACTTAATTTTATGCGGAGGTAACAGCGTCTTCTGTGCAGAAGATGATAGTATATTGTTTTCTGCAACGGAAAAGAAATAGACTCCAAGGGCCACCCAGTCCAAGCAGGATGCGCAATCAAAGCACTCTCGACAGATGGTCATCCAGCTAATCCAGTTTTGAATCTTGCTTTGAACAAATGTAGACCTGTGGAGACTCTTGCCAGTCTATGGCTCTTCTCATCAGAGTTTCCTGGCTATTTTCCAAATATATCTGAATAGCCTCCCCATCCCTCCTGCCCAGATGTTTCCAGGAGAAGCTCAAACAGAACTGTGGTCACAAAGGGACTGTGGGCCGAGGGAGCCCCCTGGTGGCACACGAGGCAAGTTTAAATCCACACAAAAGGCTGGCCAGGCCCCACAGCTGCAAGGAGGTGACCCCCTTCTCTGCCCCATCATTTCCCCAGAGACAGTAGATCATTCACAGTATTGCACCGGCCCAATACAAACCCACATCTCTTTGTAAAGAAAGGAGCCAAAATGTCCACATTATTTGTATTAATATGACTCCTGGATGAGTATTAACCTTAAATGCATTTGTGTATATTTAGCAGAAGTTGAATCCATTAGTAGAAAATAAGTGCCTTATAATAGGTGCCATAGTGGGGAGAAGTCAAATTTGTTTTTAATGGTCTGGTAATTTTATTTGTATATGAAGGTAGTGAGGAAGCTGTGGGAAAGGAGGACTTGAGGGTGCTTTAGCATTGTTTTGTTTTATTTTAGTGTCCATTTTCAAAAATTATTTTTAAATGGGTTTTAAGTTATATCTTTTTAAAAATTCAATAAAGATGGAGTAAAATAAAAAAAAGCAAAAAAGGGAACAGATGGTGCCATGGCTTCTCCTTATGTATGTTGTCAGTCCATCAGCAATGAGACAGATTTCTTTCTTTCATGAAAGGAGTGACTTGAGAAACTGCAAGTCGCTTCTGGTGTGAGGGAATTGGCCATCTGCAAGGACGTTGCCCAGGGGATGCCTGGATATTTTAATGTTTTACTAGAAGAGAGGAGCAGAATTCAAAACAATCTTGTCAGATTAGAGAGATGGGCCAAAACTAACAAAATGAAGTTCAACAGGGACAAATGAAAGATACTCCACTTAGGCAGAAAAAATGAAATGCTAAGATACAGAATGGGGGACACCTGGCCTGAGAGCAGTACATGTGAAAAAGATCTTGGAGTCCTCGTGGACAACAAGTTAAACATAAGCCAAAAATGTGATGCGGCAGCAAAAAAAGCCAATGGGATTTTGGCCTGCATCAATAGGAGCATAGTGTCTAGATCCAGGGAAGTCATGCAACCCCTCTATTCTGCTTTGGTTAGACCACACCTGGAATATTGTGTCCAATTCTGGGCACCACAATTCAAGAGAGATATTGACAAGCTGGAATGTGTCCAGAGGAGGGCGACTAAAATGATCAAGGGTCTGGAGAACAAGCCCTATGAGGACCGGCTTAAGGAGCTGGGCATGTTTAGCCTGAAGAAGAGAAGGCTGAGAGGAGATATGATAGCCATGTATAAATATGTGAGAGGAAGTCACAGGGAGGAGGGAGCAAGCTTGTTTTCTGCTTCCCTGGAGACTAGGACGCGGAACAATGGCTTCAAACTACAAGAAAGGAGATTCCATCTGAATATGAGGAAGAACTTCTTGACTTGTGAGAGCTGTTCAGCAGTGGAATTCTCTGCCCCAGAGTGTGGTGGAGGCTCCTTCTTTGGAGGCTTTTAAACAGCAGCTGGATGGTCATCTGTTCGGGGTGCTTTGAATGAAATTTTCCTGTTTCTTGGCAGAATGGGGTTGGACTGGATGGCCCATGAGGTCTCTTCCAACTCTATGATTCTATCCTTGTGGGAGGGTTCTCTCATGTCCCTGCATGGGGAGCTGGAGCTGACAGAGGGAGCTCATCTGCGCTCTCCCCAGATTTGAACCCCCAACCATCTATCTTCAGTCCTTCCCGCACAAGGGTTTAACCCATTGCGCCACTGGGGACTCCTACCCCTTTGGGATAACAAATCCCCAAATCTCCCATCCTTAGCCTCATGTCCCCAGTTGAATTCCAAACAACAACAATCAGACTGCAAGGAAAAAGGGGGAGGCTTGTAGGCATCATTCATACTTCTTGAAAGGCCCTTATGAATTTTACATAACCTCAAACTACAAAGATTCTTATAAATCTACAATTCTTCTTATTTATTTATTTATTTATTTACTTTATTTGTATACCGCACTCTCTCAGCCCGTAGGCAACTCAGTGCGGTTTACAACCATGTCAATATACAAAGTGCACAACATTAGCATTAACATTTAAAATATTTATTTATTTGCTTTATTTCTATACCGCGTTTCTCAACCTATAATAGTGACTAAAGCAACTAAATCAATCTAACAATACATCGGTACATCAAAATAACATCAATACATCCATATAACTAATCCAACACGTCTCATCAGTAAAGTCATAATCCGATCTCCTCGTCCATTATTCCAAGTTCCAAATTCGATCAATTGATTGCACTGCTTAATTAAACGCCTGTTCAAAGAGCAGGGGTTTCTCAACTATTTCTCATTGGGGACATCCATAGGGATACCAAGGGGCTTGTTTATAAAGCTATTGTCCTCCCAACCCTGCTATATGCCTACGAAACGTGGACTGTCTATAGACGTCACATACAACTTCTGGAACGATTCCATCAGCGCTGCCTCCGGAAAATCCTGCAAATCTCTTGGGAAGACAAGCGGACAAACGTCAGCGTGCTGGAAGAAGCAAAGACCACCAGCATTGAAGCGATGGTCCTCCGCCATCAACTCCGCTGGACCGGCCACGTTGTCCGGATGCCCGACCACCGTCTCCCAAAGCAGTTGCTCTACTCCGAACTCAAGAACGGAAAACGGAATGTTGGTGGACAGGAAAAGAGATTTAAAGATGGGCTCAAAGCCAACCTTAAAAACTCTGGCATAGACACTGAGAACTGGGAAGCCCTGGCCCTTGAGCGCTCGAGCTGGAAGTCAGCTGTGACCAGCAGTGCTGCAGAATTTGAAGAGGCACGAATGGAGGGTGAAAGAGAGAAACGTGCCAAGAGGAAGGTGCATCAAGCCAACCCCGACCGGGACCACCTTCCACCTTGAAACCAATGCCCTCACTGCGGGAGAAGATGCAGTTCAAGAATAGGGCTCCACAGTCACCTACAGACCCACAAGAATACTGATCCTGGAAGACTATCCTACTCAGCCAACGAGGGATCGCCTAAGTAAGTAAGTAAGTTCTCAACTGTTTTTCAAATATTCCTGGATATCTTCCCTTAGTGCCCCAAATCCAAGTTTTTGAGTTCAACAATACTCTAAAAACCAAAGACAAAAGGAAATAATATGCCCAACTTTTCATTTTGTAGAAGCCCCCAAATCAGTTCTGTCATGTGACATTATCCTGTCTTTTTGATGAAGGAAAGAAATGAAAAAACACATGCCTCTGCTTGGCATCAGGACTTTAGGGTTCTCTCAAACCTCCATCCAAAGCTCTGGACACCTGCTGAGCTCACCTGCTTTTGAATGAACCCCAAAGGCTTGCTACTGGATGATTATCACACACACACATATACACACATATTAATGCCCAGCTAGTCTTCCACCAACCAGCGGCCGAACTCTTAAATGCTCACCTTTCACAGTCAGCGGAGATTTCTCTCCAGAGAGCCCTGCAGAAGCCATTGCATCATCAGTGGCCTGGAAAAGAGCAAAAGAATAACAGTCCACGCTGGGTGAAAGATAAAGGCAAGCAAAGGCTCTTCTATCTCAATAGACCTGGGACTTTTCACAATTTGATTGGAAAAGATTCTTAATGTGCCTCTAGACATGTGTTAAAATGTTTCTGAATTATTCGTAATTCTTCAATGTATTGTCGAAGGCTTTCATGGCCAGAATCACTGGGTTGTAGGTTTTTTTCAGGCTATATGGCCATGTTCTAGAGGCATTCTCTCCTAATGTTTCGCCTGCATCTATGGCAAGCATCCTCAGAGGTAGTGAGGTCCTCACTAAAAAACCTACAACAACCCATTCATAATTGTTGTTGTTCCGTCTTATAATCATACTCTCCTAAGGAGTCCTTGGCAAAGTTAATTTAGAAGATGATTACCTTTGACTTCCTCTAAGAGAGAGAGAGTGCCTTGCCCAAGGTCACCTAACAGGATAATAAGTTTCCAAGCCTGTGTACAGATCTGAACCCTAGTGTCCAGGGTCCAAAGCTGAAACCACTATATAGGATTACCTATTTTTAAAATTGCATTATATATTGTTTTAGTTTATATTTTGCTTGAACCTATATTGCAAGCCCCCTTGGGTCCCATATGGGGAGTAAGGTAGGATGAAATACAGAAATATACATATAAATGTGTATTTATTTATTTACTATATTTGTATACCGCTCTTCTCAGCCCTTGGGTGACTCAGAGCGGTTAAAAACAGCAAAATTCAATGCTCAAAAACATCATAAAACAGTTAAAAACAATTAAAACAGTAGCAGTTAATATAAATCAATAAAACATCTCATTCCCCTCTCATAGTTAAGATCGAAATCCAGTCTCATCATCCAATTGTTCCATATTCCTATATTCGTTACACTGCCTATTCAAATGCCTGCTCGAACAACCAGGTCTTCACTTTCCTCCAAAATGTCAACAGGGAGGGGGCCAATCTAATATCTGTAGGAAGGGTGTTCCACAGCCGAGGGGCCACCACTGAGAAGGCCCTGTCTCTCATCCCCGCCAAACGTACTTGTGATGCAGGCAGGACCAAGAGCAGGGCCTCCCCAGACTTATGCACCCATTCTTGCCCTAAGAAGGTTTATATTCTGCTTTGAGAAAATAATTTTGTGGGGGGAAAAACAACATTTGCCTAATGTGCAAAAGACAAGCAGATTAGCTCCAAGTAAATATCCTAAAGGCCCTAAGCTCTGTCTGATTCTGAAAGCTAAGCAGGGAGAGTGTGGGTTAGGACTTGGTCTACCAAGGAATACTGGGAATGGTAGTCTCTGTTTCAGAGGAAGAACCTGGCAAAACCAATGAAAACACATAAACAAAACAACTGCTAACAAGAGGACAGCACCTTCCTCTACATTGGAGCCCAGCAGAGAGGCTCTTGCGACACAATCCAAACCAAGTGGCATTCCCACCTTCACCTTTGCAAGCTCCCTGCTGCCCAAGGGCACTGCACCTGAGCAAGGACAGGTGAAAATGTACATACACATCCAGCTCATTCTTGGGGGTTTGCCTGCTTTGTGTTAATCCTCAACATGTAGTGCCATGAAATAAGGAGAAGCACAACACTCAGACCAGTGGGGAAAAGCTTAGCTGGTTCCCTCTAGTTGATGAGTCTCACTGATGAACTCCATAAAAACCTTCTCTGGAGGTTTTCAAGGAGAGGCTGGAGGGCCATCTGTCAGGGATTGGACTGGATGGTCCTTTGGGCCTCTTCCAACTCTAGGATTCTATGATTTATGACTTAAAGCAGTGGTTCTCATCCTGTGGGTCCACAGGTGTTTTGGCCTACAACTCCCAGAAATCCCAGCCAGTTTAGCAGCCACTGACTTATAGGGTTGGACTGCATGGCCCTTGGGGTCCCTTCCACATAGCTGAATAAAATCCCACATTATCTGCTTTGAACTAGAATATATGGCAGTGTGGACTCGGATAACCCAGTTCAAGGCAGATATTCTGGTTTATATGGTTGTGTAGAAGAGACCTATGATTCTATATTTATTTATTTATATCTATCTCTTAGAGGGGTAGACTGGATAGTGCTGGGTTCTCTTCCAACTGTAATCTATCTATCTATGAATGAAAGGGTCAGACTGGATGGCCCATTCTATCTATCTATCTATCTATGAATGAAAGGGTCTGACTGGATGGCCCATTCTATCTATCTATCTATCTATCTATCTATCTATCTATCTATGAAAGGGTCAGACTGGATGGCCCATTCTATCTATCTATCTATGAATGAAAGGGTCAGACTGGATGGCCCATTCTATCTATCTATCTACCTATAAATGAAAGGGTCAGACTGGATGGCCCATTCTATCTATCTATCTATCTATCTATCTATGAATGAAAGGGTCAGACTGGATGGCCCATTCTATCTATCTATCTATGAATGAAAGGGTCAGACTGGATGGCCCATTCTATCTATGAATGAAAGGGTCAGACTGGATGGCCCATTCTATCTATCTATCTATGAATGAAAGGGTCAGACTGGATGGCCCATTCTATCTATCTATCTATGAATGAAAGGGTCAGACTGGATGGCCCATTCTATCTATCTATCTATGAATGAAAGGGTCAGACTGGATGGCCCATTCTATCTATCTATCTATGAATGAAAGGGTCAGACTGGATGGCCCATTCTATCTATGAATGAAAGGGTCAGACTGGATGGCCCATTCTATCTATCTATCTATGAATGAAAGGGTCAGACTGGATGGCCCATTCTATCTATCTATCTATGAATGAAAGGGTCAGACTGGATGGCCCATTCTATCTATGAATGAAAGGGTCAGACTGGATGGCCCATTCTATCTATCTATCTATCTATCTATCTATCTATCTATCTATGAAAGGGTCAGACTGGATGGCCCTTGGGGGTCCCTTCCAACTCCAGCATTATAGGATTCTATATTTATTTATTTCTTCTATTCTCTTCTTCCATCAGCACCCACTGGATCACTTTCAACATCACTCTGAGTGTGACAGATTATTATTATTATTATTAAACTTTATTTGTACCCCGCTAGCATCTCCCGAAGGACTCGATGCGGCTTACAAAGGCCAAGGCCTCAATACACAACACAACAATACACTCAAAGCAAATTAAAAACCACAAGCAATAAACAATACATCAACAAGATAAAACTGGGCCAGGCCAGAGTAAAGGGTACAGGATTAAAAAGTGCTGATGTGACAGGTGATATTATAGGGCAAGTGCAGTGTGCGGCAGTCTTAAATTCTAATAAAGTGCTTCTGGGACTTGGTATTGGAGATTTCCTAATCGGGGAAGGCACATCGGAACAGCCAGGTCTTCAAATGAGCCAGATGAGGCTCATGCTCGTTTGTGTCATCCACAGAGGTCCAGGGGGCCTTTGGGCAGAATCAGAGCCAGGGCTGGAGCAGAAGTGGGCAAGTGGTGGCTGGGGTTCTGTCAATAAGCAATGAAAAGGAAAGGGCCTGAGTCTATTAGGAATTATAGGAATTGAAGTCCAAAACACCTGGAGAGAGGGCCTAAGTTGGCCCAGGCCTGTGTCAGAGAGAGAAGGAGGCCTTGTAGGTTTGAGGAAGGGTCTTCCTTTCGGACTGCAACTCCCAGAATCCTCCAGTCGTCCAGCAGCCCGAGAAGGCGCTTTCCCCCTTCATTTCCTTCCTCTGGCGTTCCCCACAGGGTCTCCCCTCCAAGTCCCATCCAAGGCCGACCCGCCTCAGCTCCCAACCCCAAGCAAGGCCTGGGACCTTGAGAGGAAGGGGAAGAAGCCTCACAGCAGCCACACAAACCACAACAAGACTAACGACAACAGGCTCTTGCTCTTACCGGCGGCGGCTGGGCTCCTTCCTCTTCCCACTTCCGCCTCCTGTAAGTCGTGGGTCATGTGACAGGCAGGCGAGGCGTCACATGACCCTCCGCCTCTCTGGGGCAAAGTTCGAGAGAGGCCAAAGCGGACCAATCAGCGGCGCCCTGCGTTTCCCAGGCTGCCTTGCGCGGGAGAGGAGGGCAAGATGGCGCCGGTGGAACACGTTGTGGCCGACGCGGGGGCTTTTCTGAAGGCAGCCCCGCTCCAGGTGGGTCTCACAGGCCTCGAGGTGGGCTCTACGCTGGGAGGCGTCCAGAGAAGGGCCGCCAAAAGGGCCAGAGGCCTGGAAGTCATGAATTCCTCTCAGGAAGGGCTGAGGGAGCTGCAGGGAGTGTTTGCCTCAGAGGAGAGAAGGGGCCCGGCAGCCATGTTTCCGTATTTGGAAGGAGGCCCCATTGAAGAGGAGAAGGCAAGGCTTGCTCCCTGGGTTCGCAGTTTGCTCGTGACACTCGCATATATTTCTCCATGCCTTCAAAAGCAGCCTCAGCTAAGGATAACATGTCTCCTCTGAATGAATTCCTGGAGCATATAATAATAATCATAATAATAATAATAAACACTTTATTTATACCCCGCTGCCATCTCCCCAAGGGACTCGGTGCGGCTTACTTATTATTATTATTATTATTAAACTTTATTTGTACCCTGCTAGCATCTCCCGAAGGACTCGATGTGGCTTACAAAGGCCAAGGCCTCAACACACAATACAAAAGTACAAAACCTAAAGCAACTTAAAAACAATTAAGCAAACTAAACAACAAGTAATAAACAATGCACTAAGACGCAATAAAACTGGGCCGGGCCAGAGTAATGGGTACAAGAGTTAAAAAGTGCTGGTGTGACAGGTGGACTATAAGGCTAATAGGGCAAGTGCAGTGTGCAGTGTGCGGCAATCTTAATTTAATAAAGTGCTTATGGGACTTGGTATTGGAGGTTTCCTATTCGGGGAAGGCACATCGGAACAGCCAGGTCTTCAAGTTCTTTCTGAAGACTGCCAATGTAGGGGCCTGTCTAAGATCTTTGGGGAGGGTACTTACATGAGGCCAAGCCCAAATATAACAATACAAACAATTATAACAACAATACAAGCAATTAAAAATAAAACATGGACAATACGAATCGGAGATTTCTGGAAATAGCAGAGTCCGGGTAAGAAATGAATGGAAGGGAAAACTAGAACGAATTGTATCGGTAACAAATCAGATAACCAGCAGCGAAGCATGGGGTGAAACTATGGATGTGAATTGCGTCATGGAGGAGGGAGGGTGTTCCGTTAGTCGGGGAGCCCCCATAGAAGTCGTGGTGGGGAGGGGGAGATACGGGAAAAGGAGACCCCGAATTCGGCCTAGGGACCGTACAACAACTTTAGTAATTCCAAATCGGTCTCCTGATACGGTAAATTGGTGTAACCAGGATGGCGGTCCCCCCGGATTGAAGGTGGTGCTGTTGAACGCCAGATCTGTCAATGGCAAAACAGCCTTCATCCAGGACTTAATCCTGGATGAACGGGCAGATCTGGCGTGCATCACAGAGACCTGGCTGGACGAAGCTGGAGGTGTGAATTTGACCCAGCTTTGCCCGTCCAGGTTTCTCTGTGCAGCACCAGCCAAGATCCGGAGGGCGGGGAGGCGGGGTTGCAGTGGTCTATAGAGATTCCATTCTTCTGACCAGGGCCCCCATCCCGCAGTCAACAAATTTTGAATGCGTCCACCTGAGGGTGGGTGACCGGGACAGATTAGGGATTCTGTTAGTGTACTGTCCACCTCGCTGCACTACAGACTCCCTGACTGAGCTAGCGGGGGTGGTCTCGGACCTGGCATTGGAGTCCCAACGGCTGCTTGTGCTGGGGGACTTCAATGTCCATGCCGAGACCGCCTTATCGGGAGCGGCTCAGGACTTCATGTCTACCATGGCAACCATGGGGCTGTCCCAACAGGTATCTGGCCCCACCCACAGTGCTGGACATACATTGGACTTGGTTTTCTGCCAGGGATGGGAGGAAGGTGGCGGTGTTGAGGAGTTATCCATCTCTCCGTTGCCATGGACCGACCACCACCTGGTCAGCTTTAGACTAACTGCACCCCCTAACCTCTGCAGAGGTGGAGGACCCATTAAGTTGGTCCGCCCCAGGAGGCTTATGGATCCGGATGGATTCCTGACGGCTCTTGGGGAATTTCCCGCCGCCTCGGTTGGTGATCCTGTCGATGCCCTGGTCGCTCTCTGGAATGGGGAGATGGCTAGGGCAATAGACACGATCGCTCCAGAACGTCCCCTCTCAAGTAGCCGAGCTAAACCAGCTCCTTGGTTCACTGAGGAGCTGGCAGCGTTGAAGCGAAGGAAGAGGGAACTAGAGAGCGTGTGGCGTTCGGATCCGAGCGAGCCAAATCGAACACGGTTTGTGTCCTTTTTAAGGGCATATGCCGCGGCAATAAAAGCCGCAAAGACTTTCTTTGCGGCCACTATTGCGTCTGCAAAGAACCGTCCGGCTGAACTGTTCCGAGTTGTCAGAGGCCTGTTAAAACCCACCATGCAGGATGGGTGCCCTGATGACTCAGCAGCTCGCTGTGAAGCTTTTGCTCAGTTCTTTGCAGACAAAGTCGCTTTGATCCGCTCTGGACTGGATACCATATTAACGGCAGTCTCTGAGGATGTAACACGAGCATCTGCTTGTCCGGTTTTGATGGATTCATTTCAATTGGTTCAATCCGAGGATGTGGACAAGGTGCTTGGAGGAATGAGAGCTACCACATGCATCCTAGACCCCTGCCCATCCTGGCTTCTGAAGGAGGCCAGAGAGGGATTGGCCGAGTGGGTGAAGGTGGTGGTTAATGCCTCCCTTCGGGAAGGCAAAATTCCAGCCAGCTTAAAGCAAGCTGTAATAAAACCGCTGTTGAAAAAACCATCACTGGACCCCACTCAATTCGTCAACTATCGGCCTGTTTCCAATCTCCCCTTTTTGGGCAAAGTCCTGGAACGTGTGGTGGCCTCACAACTCCAGGCATTCTTGGTAGACACAGATTATCTGGATCCGGCACAGTCTGGCTTTAGGCCGGGACATGGTACCAAGACAGCCTTGGTCGCCTTAGTGGATGATCTGCGCCGGGAGCTCGACAGGGGGAGTGTGTCCCTGTTGGTGCTGCTGGACCTCTCAGCGGCCTTCGATACCGTCAACCACAGTATCCTTCTGGGACGCCTCGCGGGAATGGGTCTTGGAGGGACTGTTTTACAGTGGCTCCGCTCATTCCTCGAGGGCCGGTCTCAGAAGGTGTTACTGGGAGACTCCTGTTCAACCCCACAACCTTTGTCTTGTGGGGTTCCTCAGGGTTCAATACTGTCTCCCATGTTGTTTAACATCTACATGAAGCCGCTGGGTGAGATCATCCGGAGTTTCGGAGTGCGATGTCATCTGTACGCGGATGATGTCCAACTCTGTCACTCCTTTCCACCTGCTACTAAGGAGGCTGTCGAGGTCCTGAACCGGTGCTTGGCCGCTGTGACGGTCTGGATGGGGGCGAACAAATTGAAATTGAATCCAGACAAGACAGAGGTACTCCTGGTCAGTCGTAAGGCCGAACAGGGTATAGGGTTACAGCCTGTGTTGGATGGGGTCGCACTCCCCCTGAAGACGCAGGTTCGCAGTTTGGGTGTGATCCTGGACTCATCGTTGAGCCTGGAACCCCAGGTTTCGGCGGTGACCAGGGGAGCATTCGCACAGTTAAAACTCGTGCGCCAACTGCGCCCGTACCTTGGGAAGTCTGACTTGGCCACGGTAGTCCACGCTCTGGTTACATCCCGTTTAGACTACTGCAACGCTCTCTACGTGGGGTTGCCTTTGAAGACGGCCCGGAAGCTCCAATTAGTCCAACGCTCGGCAACCATGATACTAACAGGAGCGGAGCGCAGGGAGCATACAACTCCTCTGCTGCACCAGCTCCACTGGCTGCCGATCTGCTACCGGGCTCAATTCAGAGTGCTGGCGTTGGCCTTTAAAGCCCTAAACGGTTCTAGCCCAACTTACCTATCCGAACGTATCTCGGCCTATCAGCCCACCAGGACCCTAAGATCTTCTGGGGGGTCCTACTCTCTATCCCGCCTGCTTCACAGGTGCGGCTGGCGGGGACGAGAGACAGGGCCTTTTCTGTGGTGGCCCCGCGGCTATGGAACGCCCTTCCCATGGAGGTAAGATCAGCTCCCTCATTGATGGTATTCAGGAAAAGACTAAAAACGTGGATGTTCGAGCAGGCGTTCGGTTAACTCAGTGCAATAAGTGTAATGATTGAAGGACTGGCAATCTGGACGACGAAACTGGATCACGATTTTAGTCAAGAGATGAATTGGATTGTTTATTGATATATGTATTGTGGATTATGTTTTTATGCTTTTAAACTGTATACTGTTGTTTGTTATAAGTTGTTGTAAACCGCGTTGAGTCGCCGGCTAGGCTGAGAAACGGCGGTATACAAGTATAGCAAATAAATAAATAAATAAATACAATAAATACAATAATGCAACATTAACAATAAGACCACACGATTAAAAACTATGGGAAGGCCAAATGTAAAATTAAAATTGAAAGTAATGCTGGAACATGGGCAAAAAAGTGATGGGGCGTTTGTGGAAAACATACAAGCAGACCTAACAAAGTGCTATGGGATCATTATTCTGGGAAGGCACACTGGAACAACCACGTCTTCAAGCTCCTCCTAAAGACTGCCAGAGTTGGGGCCTGCCTGATGTCCTTAGGAAGTGAGTTCCAGAGTCGAGGGGCCACCACCGAAAAGGCCCTCTCTCTCGTCCCCACCAATCGCGCCTGCGATGCAGGTGGGATCGCGAGCAGGACCTCTCCAGATGAACAGAAAGATCGTGTGGGTTCATATACAGAGATGTGGTCATAGAATCATAGAATCCTAGAGTTGGAAGAGACCTCATGGGCCATCCAGTCCAACCCAATTCTGCCAAAAAGCAGGAAAATTGCATTCAAAGCACCTCTGACAGTTGGCCATCTATCCTCTGCTTAAAAGCTTTCAAAGAAGGAGCCTATACCACACTCTTGGGCAGAGAGTTCCACTGCTGAACAGCTCTCACAGGAAATTCTTCCTAATGTTCAGATGGAATCTCTTTTCTTGTAGTTTGAAGCCATTGCTCCATGTCCTAGTCTCCAGGGCAGCAGAAAACAAGTTCGCTCCCTCCTCCCTATGACTTCCTCTCACATATTTATACATGGCCCTCATCATGTCTCCTCTCAGCCTTCTCTTCTTCAGGCTAAACAGGCCCAGCTCTTTAAGCCGCTCCTCATAGGGCTTGTTCTCCAGACCCTTGATCATTTTAGCCGCCCTCCTCTGGACACATTCCAGCTTGTCAATATCTCTCTTGAATTGTGGTGCCCAGAATTGGACACAATATTCCAGGTGTGGTCTAACCAAAGCAGAATAGAGGGGTAGCATTACTTCCCTGGATCTAGACACTATGCTCTATTGATGCAGGCCAAAATCCCATTGGGTCCAGGTTACCTAAAGGATTGCCTTCTCCCATACAATCCGTCCCGCTTACTTTGTTCCTCTGGAGGGTGGTAGCTCCACTAGCCAAAATGACTGGAATGACCTGCCAGTAGAGCCCTGACAGCTGGATCAGCTGTCGGAATTAAAGATACAAGTGAAGAACTATCTCTTCCAGCAGGCCTACCTAGACAGTTTTAATTGTGAATTTTAAACTCTACTGAATTCTTGGTTTTTGTTTTGTGTGTTTTAAAACATATTTTATAGAGGTATGTTATTTTACATAATGTTTTAAAATGATTATATGCTTGTTTATGTTTTAGTAATGCTGTAACCTGCCTTGAGCCAAATTAAAACTATTTTACTGACATTATTATTATTATTGTTATTATTATTACTATTATTCAAACCGCAAGGAAAGAGATTCCATTGAAACCTAAAGAGGAACTTTCTGATGTTTAGAACCATTCAATGGCAGCATACAGGCTGCCTGGGAGTCCAGTGGAGTCTCTTTCCTTTGCTGGAGGTTTTGACGTAGGGGCTGCAGAAGTGCTTTGATTGTGTCTTCCAGGCTAGCAAAAAGAAGGGGCTGGATGGCCTTTGAGGATCCCTTCCAGCTTTAGGGTTCTGTGATTCTACCATGAGCTGAGTGTGAGCCAACGCTGGGATTCAGCAGCAGATAAAGCCCAATCAATTGTGGCACAAGAACTGGGTGGCCCTTTTGGGGACCCCTCCCCATAGGATACAGACTGTCGGGGAGCCTGGCTGAGTCTTTTTCCTTCTCCTGGGGTCTTTTAAACAGAGACTGGATGTCCATCTCTCAAGGGGCTTGGATCATGCCTCCCTGCCTAGCAGAAAGAAGGAAGTTGGACTTGATGGTCTTTGGTAATCCCTTCCAGTTCTACTGGGACATTATAGACCACCTGGGAATCCTAAAGAGTCTGCTTTTCTGGGATGCTTTTGGGTGACCCTCTGCAGGGAGGGCTTGGGTAGAGCCTTCCTCTGCGGTGCCCCCCTAACCCCTCCCCTTTCTCTGTGCAGGACATCGGCCAGAACGTCTACACTGTGCGGGAGGTGGTGGCTGAGATCCGGGACAAGGAGACCAAGCGTCGCCTGGCAGTCCTTCCTTATCAGCTCAACTTCAAACAGCCCTTCCCCGAATACATCCGCCTGGGTGAGCCCCACGCACAGACCTACTACTTTTGCTCCCAGACTGCCATCCATCTCGAAGGATGTTTGGAATACAAGATTTATACAGTGGAACCTTGACTTAAGAGTGTCCCAAGTTGAGAACATTTTGAGTTAAGAACTGTCGATTAGCCTGGGTTTGCTTTGACATACAAGCAGCATTTTGAGTTAAGAGCCAGCACCAGAGGAAGTGCTAACACAAGAGTTCAGGGCTTTAGGGCTTCAAGGGGGCAACCTTCTTGCTCTGTCTGTCCGCTTTGGGCGATTGCTGTCCGCTTTGCTCTTGTCCACTTTGAGGAACGTTGGGTTTGTTGATTTTGTGTGGTTTTTATAAATTTTAATTCCTGATCTGTTTGGCTTCATAAAGAGTGAGAGGGAGGGAAGGTGGGTGGAATGAGGAGGAAGAAGAAAAGGATTCTTCTGCCTCTTTACTTGGTGCTTTGGCTTCTTTGCCACAACTTTGTGTTGTCATGGAACGAATTAAACTCTTAAATCAAGGTATCACTGCATAAAGGTACAGGGATTGCATCCCAAATCCTCTGGAGGCCGCCTGTTTGGACTCTTGGCAAACAGGTGGCCTCCAAAGCCTCAGTCATTCAGAAATCTTGCTCATTTGGGGCAGCCATAACTTCCTTATATAAGATACTAGGTCTCTATAAGTTCCTTTTTGGCCTTGGCAAGTTCTGTATGCTGCCTTTTCTGCTACCTTGGTTTTATTGGGCACAACTTTGGTCATGTGTTTTCTGTTACACAAGCCTCCGCATTGACTGTAGCTCAAGTCATAAATATTTATTTTGATAATTCCCAAAGAGAGAGATAGGGCCATATCCCTGAGCAAGCATCGTTAGCCTCTTCTCTTCTTCCTTGGCCTTTTGGCTGGAAAGCATGGGACTATCAAACTACTGCTCTGTATATGGATTCAATGACAGAATGCCATTTTCTCTCCCTTTTTTTAGTGACCGAGTTTTCCAAGAAGACAGGTGACTATCCCAGCCTTTCTGCCACAGACTTAAAGGTTCTGGCTTTGACTTACCAGCTGGAAGCTGAGAATGTTGGTATTGTTCACCTGAAGATGGAACCAGAGCAGAAGGTGGGAACAGCAGACGCTTTCATATCTATGCTTGCCTCTTCAGTGTGCAAAATGCATATTTATACCCCAATTAACCTATTTTTTAGATGACCCCCCAAAAGTATTTTTACTTTTCTTGCAAATGGTAATGTTATATGTATTTTGATAGTGTTATGTTTTAACTGTGTTATATTCTGCCTTGAGCTGCAAGGAGAAGCAGGGTATTATTATTATTATTATTATTATTATTATTATAAATGAAACATACTGAATATCAGGGTGCATCTCTTTGGTTTTTCAGTGACCTTTGAAAACAGATTGGTATGTTTTGTGGTGTGAACTGGGGAAGCATTTAATTTCATTGTGCAGCAACACAATGAAAATAAAGCTATTCTATTCTATTCTGAAAGGAAGCTAGGACTAGGGATTTCATTGATTTGTCTTGCCCAAAAGGCCTCCTGACATGATATCTTTTATAAATGATTTTGAGGGGAACAAATAGATGGGTATTGTGGAGTAATAAATATTATTATCCTTATTATAGATGAAAAATCCAAAGGAACCTAGAACCAGGGATTCCAATGATGAGATGCTCTATGTGGCCTTGCACAAATGTCTGCCTTTTATAAATGACTTTAAGGCAGCGGTTCTCAACCTAGGGGTCGCGACTCCAGAGGGGTCGATGGGCTGTTTCAGAGGGGTCGCGTCACCTCCTCCTTCGGCCCCACCCTCTCCGCCTCTCCAGAATGGCTGCCGGGCCCCCGGGGACACCACAGCAAGGCCTGGATCTAGCGGGGAGGCTTTCCCTGCTGCCATCACCAGAAATATTCCTGCAGGCATCGGGATGTGCCCCGGGGACCTGGCAGCCATTCCGGGGAGGCGGAGGGGGCGAGACCCCTCTAACATTAGAGGTGCCTTCTCATCACCCCCAGTGCCTCCTGCAAGCCCGGGAAGGCACTCTTCCTCAGTGCCTGGGCCTGCGGAGACCTCCTGACGAGGAGTAGGAGGAAGAAGGAGAGACCACATGCCCATGTCAAAGCCTGCACCTTGATTTGGAGGCACCACCGGAAAAGAACGGAGAGGAGGAGGAAAAATAGCCCAGAGGAGGAGAAGAAGGACAGGCCTCACTGCTGCCCCACGGCTTGCTCTTCTTGCTGCCCTTTGAGGCTCCCACCATAAACAGGGACCTGTTCTTCCAGCCTGGGCTCATAGAGCAGGCCTCCGCTTGTAGTGGGAGCCTCGAAGGGTAGTGGGAGGACCATGGTGCAGGGCAGCAGCAGCGAGGCTTGCCCTCCTCCTTCTCCTCTGGCTCTTCCTCCTCCTCCTTCCCATTCTCTTCCAGCGGCACCTCCATATCTAGAAGAGGAGGCATCTCCAAACGGAGAGGAGGAAGAGCCCATCACTGTCAATTCCTCTCAAACCCCTCCAGTATTTTTTGTTGGTCGTGGGAGTTCTGTGTACCAAGTCTGGTCCAGGTCTGTAATTTGTGGGGGTTTCAGTGGTCTGGAAGTCAGAGCTGAATCGGTGGAAGGTACTACAAATCCCATAATTCATTATCCATACTCCCCAAACATTGTTTTTGTGATTGTTCACTGTGCTTTAATTATGTTCAGTTTGTAACAATGAAAATACATATCAGATATTTACGTGACGATTCATAGCAGTAGCAAAATTACAGTAATGAAGTAACAACAAAAATAATTTTATGGTTGGAGCTCACCACAACATGAGGAACTGCATTGAGGGGTCGCGGCATTAGGAAGGTTGATAAACACTTCTTTAAGGTGTATAAATAAATAGGAATCTTCCCCAAAGCATGATGTAAAAGAAAATATTCTACAACAAAGCTTCTTTTGGGGACTCTCTGGAGTAAAGCCTCATCCAGGCCTACCCAGGCAGCTTTAATGAGAAATTTTAAACTTTCATCTTATGTTTAATCTTTGTTTTGTGTATTTTAATATGCATTTTGAGGAAATATGTTTTAATATGTATATTTCAAAGGAAGTTTTTAGAAGAATTTGTGTTTTAGCAATATTGTAACCCAAGAAATGGGAGGAGGGCAAGAAATAAAAATTATTAGTATTATTAGTATTGTCCTTCCCTTGGGTCTTTGCAGGTGAGGGTCAGCTCCACGAAGCATCACCCCGAGACCCTTGTCCATGTGGCCGGATTCCACCTCCCTTCCAAGGTAACTTCCTGCCAAACCTTAGCTGCCCCTCTTTCTTCTGTGAAAGCTTTGCCCTGGTTTTCATGGAAAGGCAACACATGATTAAAAAGAAAAAGTGCCCTTCTTCTTGTTTGGATGATGACAACAACAGCAGCATTGGTCTTGTTTATTGTGTTCATTTATTTTTCTAAAAACAGCTACCACTTTTGGCAAAGTGCAATAAAAAATAAGGTATTATTTTCTTTTTTAAAGACTAAGCACTTTGGAGGTGAAAAGGAGCCTTCAACGAGAGAGAGACAAGAGCAGGCAGAGGTCGCCGGCCCCGAAGACTCTGAGTTTGGCTCCTTCCTGTTCTGGAGGAACCCACTGCCCAGTATAGAGGAAGACCTGCAGGCCTTACTGGTAAGGAGGCAGGCTTTGGGGCTGCTCCCCATTTCATGCTCTGCCATGGGCTCCTCTCTGAGTTGGCTGTCTATCTCTGTCAGGATGCGGATGCCGTCTGTGTGGGACCCGAAGACCCCAAGGGCCAGGAGAGCGAGGAGGAGGAGGGGGAAAGTGATGAAGATGAGGAGGAAGGCTGGATCACGCCCAGCAACATCAGGCAGATACAGCAAGAGTTGGGCCAAGGGGCCGAGCCAGAAGGAGTGAAAGTGGGCTGCCTGACCACCGACTTCGCCATGCAGGCAAGTGACCTTTGGGAAGCCTCTGGCCTCGCAGGTGGGGCGTCCATTCTCTTTAGCTATTGGGGAGGCCAGGGCACAGGGACATCGAGGACCCGGCCCAAATCCTGCCCTTTCCTGGATTTGGATCAGCCACCCAGAGAACAGCGACTGAAATGGTCAAAGGTCTGGAACCCATGACCCTTCTGAGGAGCAGCTTGGAGAGAAGGAGTCTGAGAGGAGGGGACACGAGAGCCAGGTTTAAATATTGGAAAGGAGGTCCCATTGAGGGTCCAAACTTGTTTTCTGCTGCTCTGGAGATGCAATAGAGCCATGGATTGAAATGGCAGGAAAATATATTCCAACTCAACATTAAGAATAACTTCTTGATAGTAAAGAGTATTCTAGGAGTTTGGTATAGTCTCTTCTCTGGATATTTTTAATCAGAGACTGGGTGACCATCTGTTGGGAGAGCTTGAATTGTGTCTTTCTTTATGGCAGAAGGGAGTTGAACTGGGTGTCCCTATGATTTAAATGGTAGGACAAGAGTCCACCTAAACATTGGGAAGACACTCCTGATGAGCAGAGGAAACTGCTGCCTAAGAGTCCAGTGGAAGATTTCTACGCAGAGGCTGGGTGGCAAGCTGTCAGGAGTACTTTGGCTGTGTGTTCCCACATAACAAAATGTGCTTGGCCTAGATAATAATAATATAATAATGAATCTTTATTTATATCCCACTTTTCTCCCTCACAAGGATCCATATTAAAATCATTGATATAAGTATAAAACATCATAAAATAACAATTTAAGGCAACAATGGACTTTGGGGGTCCCAACTCTAGTAGGATATAGACTGCCTGGGAGTCTGGTGGAGCCTCATTCATTCTCTGGAGAGTTTGAATCAAGAGGTCAGCCAGCCCTCTGTCGGAATGGTTTGGATTGTGTATTCCTTCCTGACAGAAGGGGGTTGGCCTGGATGGCCTTTGGAGGTCCCTTCCACTCTCAGATTCTATGGCATTCTTCCACAAGGAGGTCAGGCTAGGTTCAGAGGTAGGTACAAGGGGAGGCAACAGGAAGAAGGAAATGTGTACCCTCATCCATCTACCACCACTTTTCGGCCCAAGTGGAGTCTCATGGCCTTTGGGGACACAACAAGCTAGGGGTCTGATGGTTTGTTGTGTCATGTCTGACTCCCCCTCCGCTCATTGTCTCTTGCAGAACGTCCTGCTGCAGATGGGTTTGCATGTCCTGGCGGTGGACGGACTCCTCATCCGCCAGGCTAGGAGCTACGTCCTGCGCTGCCATGGATGCTTCAAGTAGGCACCTGCCTTTGTGTCTTTTTTGAGATGCCTTTTCATTGTTGTTCTCTGTTATCCTTATTGCCATGGGTTTCTCATAATATAATAATAATAATAATAATAACAACTTTATTTATACCCCGCCACCATCTCCCCAAGGGGACTCAGGGAGACTTACATGAGGCCAAGCCCAACAACACATCAGTAAGAACAAAACAGCAAGCAAATAAAACAGTACAATTAATATAACTTACAAATAAACAATAACACAGAGAATTTAAAACCTTATAATAATATGGGGCCTTGAGTAGATCATTACATGAAGTAAAGAATGATACAGTCAGAAACAACCTGCTTTATCAAACGGTTGTGCTTAATACATTAATATTACAATTGAATTGATGTTGTCATTGCCTGCCTACAAGTCGCTTTCCAACTAGAATGGGTTTTCTTGCCTAGGTTTCATCAGAGGGCTTTTTTCTTTGCTTTCAGAGGTCCAGCTTCAGCAGTAGCTTCTTGGAAATGTTTAAAAGGCATCAAGTGGTCACCAAGTGCATCCAGTTTGTTATTGATGGGTTCATTGTGTGTTGCCTTCTTCCTGGAATGTGAACCAAGGGGGCTCCGGAATCCACTTCCAATCTCCATCTGACCCGAACTGTCTTTGTTTCCCTAAGGACAACCTCAGACATGACGCGGCTCTTCTGCCCGCATTGTGGCAACAAGACCCTCAAGAAAGTGGCAGTGTCCGTGGCCGATGATGGCAGTCTCCACTTGCATTTCTCCCGGAACCCAAAGGTCCTGAACCCGCGTGGACTGAGGGTGAGTGGCCCATTTGCCACCTTTGTACCTTACACTTACGCATACACAGAGAAAGACCTTCCCTTTGTTGCTACGGCAATTGTCCGGACCTACGGCTGCCACTAGATTTCCTCATGCAAAACCAGTTTGGCTAGTCAGGTGCTGCCTAGAGCTTCACAAAAAAGGGAAACCCCTTTAGCAGAACAACCGTTCTCTTCGGTGGAAAATTCTCTTGTAGTTGGGTGCTGCTTAGGTCGGCAGATGACCCCTTTACGCAACAATTTCCCAGCAGAGAAGGGCCTGGTGTCTTGCGTATTATTAGGGGAAAACAGTATACAGAGCATTAGCCTTTTATCTACTGGAAATGAGCGTATAACACTCAGTCTTCCT